CTATTTATCAATTAGTAAATGAAAAATATGTATATTGTCAAAGGGGATGAGAGCTGTAATTTATTATCTTGTATTTGGATTATTTGTGTTGAGCCTCCTGTTTTTCCTTTTAATTTTTTCAATATCTGCTTTTGTTCCCCAACTCTTTTTCGTTTGTTTATTTTATTTTAATTTCTTTAAATTGTGCTTTCTCAGGTATCTTACGCTACAAGGTGGACTTCCAGAGTATGCAGCTCGATGAATTGGACAATGACTGCTTCGACCTAGATGATTACTAGAAAATGTTTCTGTAGAATTGAATTTGCAACTACCGTCGACCGCAAAGTGAAAACTGCAACTACATAAAACCAGGAAAATCAAATAGAATATTTTATAATACGAAAAACACACATACCTTCTTCCATTTTAACGTTGTTGGCGAAAAAAGTAAAATTTAAATTAATGCATATAAATACAAACGATATAATGTTAAATCGAGGAAAACATATTAAAATGATACCGTTTTACGTGAACAAAACCATAAATTGAACACATTTTTTAAGGTGGATTGGGCAAATATATTATATAACTGATATAATTCATAAACCTTTGCTCGGTATAGCTGAAAAGATAATGAAGTAATCATTATATATTGCCCATTTAAACTATTGATATGAATTAACCCAAGATACATTTCGGACGTCCGGTATCTTTTGGATAACATTACATACACTGCTGGAAATGCTGGTAGCCACTTTTGGAGTTACTACCAGTATAACAATGAAAGTGTGGTTGAAAGTAAAGGGAAATGGGCATGACATTTCTTACTTTCTATTTGCAGGCACACTTGCAAACAGTTTATTACGAGATTCCCAACAGATTAGTTGACGTTTACACGTGTACGGCTACAAATACAAACATCATTTGTTTTATAAGCGATTTGCATTTAAGAATTTGGATAGATCCATTTGGTAAGTTAAAACTTGTTTCTGAATCACACTTACATGCAAGTACCTGCACTCGTTTAAATATATGTAAGTAAAGAAAAACGTACAGTTCACCTTCTCTAACAGAGAAATTTATTAAATAATATTACCCTGACTATAAACACAGCTTAAAAGTTTAGCTTAGCGAGATCTGACTGTATGTAATTAAATATGCAGCAACAGTTGGGTTGGCCAAGTTTGCTTTTGGCATGCATTGCGAACGATAAACTTATTAAATCGATAGGTTAAATATTCAATTTTTTGTTAATTTGATAATAATAACTGTATTAATAGAAACCTTTTTTAATGGGTTAACTTATAAGTGCATAATTTCTTTTGATGGTACATTAGTTTGGATAAATTTTATTGCTTAATTTGCTTAATTTTATTGCTTATTGTATTTTGCATGGAAAACTAACACTATTATTGACCACTTATGTGGGAAAAATTCGATTTAAATAAAATAAGGTCCACTCTAAAGCCCACAAGTGTACTCTGGTATGAGTATATTTACAGCCCCGATCGTAATTTCAATTATTTTGATTGTGAGCAGGGTATACAACTTAATGGAAATTTGATCAAGAGAACGTTAAAACACAATCGGCTGCAGTCATTCGGGGCACTTACAGTTGAAACGTCGGCGACGGAGGTTCTGTTCTGGAAACCACAAAATAATCGGTTTTTTAGTGGCCAATTCGGACGTGAGATACGAACACTTTTAGCAAGATTATGGCAGCCCCAGTGGAATGGACAGAGACTGTTAATCAGATTCGCGATGGCCTTATGGACGACTGGAAAATCCTGGAAAACGTCTTCAGTCTGCTCCAGAAGGAGGATACCTTCTGCGTGGATCCCCAGGAATGGACCAAACAGAAGATAGTTCCGTTTTTGCAGCCAGACAAACTTAAGGTTAGTGAACGATAGACTCGCCGGCGTCTACTGATCTGGAGATAACAACCATAGACTGATTAAAACAAAGTGTTAAATTCAAAAATTTGCCTCTGGCAGCTGGTAAAAATAATTGTGCTATAGACATTGTGCTAGACCAGATCTATTTGAATGAATTTAATTGATAAAAGTATGATTTCATTGAGCACACTTTAACTGAAACATCTGATTTTGTTAAGTCTTTATGATTATTGCTAGATTGAGATAACAACCGTAGAATGATTAATACAAAGTGTTAAAATTCGAAAATTTGCCTCTGGCAGCTGTTAAAAATAGTTGTGCTTTAGAAATTGTTAGATCAAATCTATTTAAATGAATTTAATTGATAAAAGTATGATTTGATTAAGCACACTTAAATGAAAGTAGCTGAAACCGTTAAGTCTTTGTGATTAATGCTAGATTGATCAAATTTTATAGGAGTATTATCTGGACCAGTATTACACCCATACTTCTTTGGAAAAAGGTTATAAAAAAATGTATTAACCGTCTTTAAGATTGAACAATTCAATAAGTCAAGGGCTATATTCATATTGTATTTGATACCGTAAAGTCTTGGTGCTTGTTACTTAGGTATAGATTTTCAAAAAATTGTTTACCAGTTAAAAAAAGGATTTTTAAATTTAAACACTTCTTTCTAGCTGGTACTTATGGCTTGCTATCTTTATGCTTTCGTTTAGAGGTTATCTGTATTACATACTTTAAAATATTTGTTCCCAGGAACTGATTAATCTGAAAGTCCGGGAGACGGAGAAGTGCACGCTCGCTGAAATCGAGGAGCTGTGTCAGCAGGTGATCCATTACTCCGTGAAAACATCGCACGGGCGCTTCCACAATCAGCTCTTCGGGCAGCTTGACCCGTTCGGATTGGCAGGAGCTCTGATCACCGAGGCCATGAACGGCAGCGCGTAAGTCTGCATCATTTTCCCGTATATATGTTTGTCTATATGACCGACAGCCGCTAGCATCTTTTATTGCAATCTACAAGTGCTAAGTTCAACGTACAGATAATTGTGTTAATGTAATGCACATCAAAAAGTAGTACCTATTATATTATAACCCTATGAGTAGAAGATGTAACTAATATGAAACCCTTGATTAACTTACAACTTTCTTTTGAATAATTATAGTGTTTTATAATTTTAATATTTAATTAATTAAATTAATTATTTATAGTTGCTGATAATGGGTGTAAGAGGTAAAGACAATGATCTCTAGTCGCTGATAATGCAGCATTTTCCCGTGTATATGTTTGTCTATATGACCGACAGCCGCTAGCATCTTTTATTGCAATCTACAAGTGTTTGCCGAGTTCAACGTTCAGATAATTGTGCTAATGTAATGCACATTAAAAAGTACTACCTATTATATTATAACCCTCTGAGTAGAAGATGTTACTAAGATGAAACTAACAACTTTCTTTTGTATAACTATAGTGTTTCACTATTTTAATATTTAATCAATGATTGGTGATATAAAATTAAATACTTTTTAGGACTGGAACAATATAAAACCTGACTTCTTATATGACATTTACCATAAAATAAATTATAAATATATATCCGCATTTCTCCTGCAGATACACTTATGAAGTAGCACCCGTGTTCAGCCTGATTGAAACTGAAATAATTTCCACCATATGCCAGCTGGCAGGATACAAGGATGGCGATGGCATCTTCGCGCCCGGGGGCTCCACCTCCAACATGTACGGATTGGTTTTGGCCCGCTATAAGGTCGCTCCCGAGGTGAAGACCTCCGGAATGTTTGGGATGCGACCCCTGGTGCTGTTCACCTCAGACGAATCGCATTACAGCTTTGTGAAGGCGGCCAACTGGCTGGGATTGGGCAGCGATAACTGTGTATCGGTGAAGACCAACGAGCGGGGTCAGATGCGACTGGACGACCTGGAGGCGAAGATCACGGAGGCAAAGACGCGTGGTGGACAGCCGTTCTTTGTCAACTGTACGGCAGGTACCACTGTACTGGGTGCCTTCGATGACATAAACGGTGCAGCAGATGTGGCAGAGCGCCATGGTCTGTGGCTCCATGTGGACGCCTGCTTGGGGGGAGCTTCGCTGCTCTCCACAAAGAACAGATCCCTTATCGCTGGCCTGGAGCGGGCCAACTCCTTCGCCTGGAATCCACATAAGACCATTGGTGCTCCCTTACAGTGCTCCCTGTTCCTAACTCGCGAATCGGGACGCCTACTGGAGAGATGCAATAGCACCGAGGCGCACTATCTGTTCCAACAGGACAAGTTCTATGATGTGTCCTACGACACGGGCAACAAGAGTGTCCAGTGCGGCCGGAAGATAGACGCCTTCAAGTTCTGGCTGATGCTAAAAGCCCGCGGATATGGGAAGTACGGACTCCTGGTTGACCATGCCATCGATATGGCCAGGTTACTGGAGGATAAGCTGCGACAGCGCGGAGATCGCTTTAGACTGGTACTGCAAAAGCACGAGTACTCCAATGTCTGCTTCTGGTTTATTCCAAAATCGATGAGGGTGACCAGCGAGGAGGAAACTTCTGAATGGTGGAGTCGTCTCTATACTGTAAGTAAAGATAATGTCCCAACATGAACTTATGTTTATGCATTATTTTTCTGGGTTATTTTATAGGTGGCTCCTAAGATTAAAGAGCAGATGGCCCACAGTGGTACTCTGATGATTGGCTACTCCCCTCTAAAGGCGCTTAATCTGGGTAACTTTTTCCGCATGGTCTTCACTTGTTTTCCCATCCTAAAAAGCGAAGAGTTGGATTTTATCTTAAATGAAATTGAGAGACTCGGCGAGAAAATTGTTGTTTAATACAAAATATTAGTTTAAAAATAAATTGAAAACATATAAAAATACATTTACGAAACTTAAAAGTATATAACCTATTTTATTTATCAGTTCCTGGGATTTTATACTTGAAGTCGAAAGTTCTCACGTTGTGATATCCTTAACGCAAATATTAGCATTATTTTAAATTCTTTTTAGAAAATTTGAATATTTCAAATAAAAGAATATCAACCGTTATCAGTTGGTATCGCCTGGCCACACCAATCGCTATCGATAAAAGAAAGTATCGGTGTTTTATAAAAAACCCAGTACGGTCTCACTATCAAAACAATTCGTGTTTTTTGTTGCGAAATTGTTGGAAAAGCGGAGGAATAAACAAGAATCAACATGGGTCGCGCGGAGGTGGGTACGCCCAAGTACCTGGCCAACAAGATGAAGTCGAAGGGCCTGCAGAAGCTGCGCTGGTACTGCCAGATGTGCGAGAAGCAGTGCCGCGACGAGAATGGCTTCAAGTGCCACACCATGAGCGAGTCCCACCAGCGCCAGTTGCTCCTCTTTGCGGATTCTCCTGGCAAGTTCCTGCACAGCTTCAGCAAGGAGTTCTCCGACGGCTACATGGAGTTACTACGACGACGGTTCGGCACTAAGAGAACCAGTGCCAACAAGATATACCAGGAGTACATCGCCCACAAGGAGCACATCCATATGAACGCCACGCGCTGGCTCACCCTCTCCGACTACGTCAAGTGGCTTGGGCGGACGGGCCAGGTGATAGCAGACGAGACGGAAAAAGGCTGGTTCGTCTCCTACATCGATCGAAGTCCGGAGGCCATGGAGCGCCAGGCGAAGGCCGATCGCAAGGAAAAGATGGAGGACGAGGAGCGGATGGCCGACTTTATCGAACAGCAAATCAAGAAGGCAAAAGCAAAGGACGGCGAAGAGGATGAGGGACAGGAGAAGTTCACCGAACTTAAGCGTGAGGAGAACGAACCCCTGAAATTGGACATTCGCCTGGAGAAGAAGTTCCAGCCGGACACTGTCCTGGGCAAATCCGCCCTAACCAAACGACCTGTCTCTGAAGTTGACGAAAAAGTCTTCAAAAAACCCAAATCCGTGGCTGGAGACAGCCAACCCCGGTCTGCACTGGACGAGATTATCAAGCAGGAGGAGGCCAAAAAGGAGCGCAACAACCGCAAGGACTACTGGCTGCACAAGAACATTGTGGTGAAGTTCATTTCCAAATCCATGGGCGACAAGTTCTTTAAGCAGAAAGCGGTTGTCCAAGAAGTAATTGACAAGTACCAAGCTAAAATTAAGTTCTTGGACACGGGGGAAAAGGTGAAAGTAGATCAGGTGAGCCACAATCAATTTTATCTTATTATGGTGAAATCTAACCCAATTATTACATTTCTAGGCTCACTTGGAGACTGTGATTCCCGCCTTGGACAAACCTGTTATGGTAGTTAATGGCGCTTATCGCGGATCTGAAGCTCTGCTAAGGAAACTGGACGAACGAAAATACTCAGTCAGTGTGGAGATATTGCATGGTCCCCTAAAAGGACGAATTGTGGATAATGTTCAGTACGAAGACATATCTAAATTGTCTGGTGCATAGTTTCACTTTCCTAAACTTAGGATATATAGATTTAACTCTACTAAGCTATTTGATTGTACAAACCGAAAATTACGATACTAGTAACTAGATTGTTTTTAACCAGAGAAAGGCTGCTGGCGAACTAAACTTCATTGCTTAAACTTGGCCCGCCTAGCATTTAGGTTAATTAAACATGACTTTTAAATGAATATCTAGAACGCTCACATTTACTTGGAGTATATGTATTTAAAAGTAGGTATGCAAACAATATTTTTGGATTCAGATTGGGAACAATAAAACCTCTAAACAAAGCCTGATCGACTGGCAATAATTCCCATACTTGCAAAATTAAACTAGTTCCAGCTTCGGTGTGGTAAAGTGCATGTTCGCGACATGCGGATTCTGTGTCTTATTATTATACTCTTACGCTTTGGAGCATCTGGAAATACTGCTGAATATGCTGAGGCCAGCTCAACAAGAAGTTGGTGGGAATCAGTGCCTCGGCTTTTGAGCGACATTGTTACCATCAAGGCAAATATTCTTACAGCCGGTCCCCTCGAACTGGCTGCCAATGCAATCGATGTTTTGTGTATGGATAATGTTTCATTTTAAATATGTAAATTATTATAAAATAAAATTCTTTTTATTTAGGTTCATCCACCCTTTTTATGGACAAAGTACCTCCGCAAATCACTCCAGATATAAAGAAAATGAATTTTCAGTACATGACTCCGTGCCAGAACTATAGTGTTCCTCTGCTGGAGGCCTCGAAGCTTTGGAGGCACTCGAGATTCAGCAAAGGACGTAAGGTGGTTATCTTGGCAACCGGGTGGACCAACACCGTGAACGAATCCTCTGCCATTTCGATGATCTCCAAGGCTTTCATGTGTCGTGGCGATGTGAATTTTGTGGTTCGTTATATGGGACCGATTTGGAATTTCCGTTCTTAATCATTTCTCCTCCAGATTGTGGATGCCGCTGACTATGTGGACACCTTGTACTCCTGGTCGGCCCTGAACACGGATTTAATTGGCGAGCACATTGGCGTGGGTCTGACCCATCTTATAGAGCTGACCCCACTAAGAAACATCCACTTGATTGGTAAGTTAGAAAAACCATCAAGTTATGTGAAGTATAATTTTTTTCCATATAGGACATTCTCTGGGAGCTCACATCATGGGCACTGCTGGTCGGACATTTACACGTCTTACTGGAAAGCTAATACCCAGGATAACTGGCCTAGATCCGGCTAAACCCTGTTTTAGGCGGGAGAACATCTTGCCGGGCTTAACGCGCGGCGATGCCAAGCTGGTGGACATCATCCACACCAACATTGGCATTTTGGCCAAACGTGGCCCACTGGGGGATGTTGATTTCTATCCGGGCGGAGCACATGCCATTCAGCCCGGCTGCCTGACCATCTCCTGCTCACATACCAGAGCAGTGGAGTATTTTGCAGAGAGTGCATATCCCCGCCAGGAAAAGAATTTCATGGGAACCAAGTGTGCTTCCTGGGAGAAGCTAAAAATACGGGACTGTTCTGCTGGTATAGTTTCCCCAATGGGCTATAAAATGAATCCCCAAGCTAGGGGAATGTACTATGTGGAAGTTAACAGCTGGCCTCCTTATGGCAGGAACTCGAAGCTAACTATTGATCCTAAATTAAGGACTTGCTATCTGTGTCAGGAGTGAGCATCAGACTTAAGATTTATACATTAAGAACTATCATTAAAATTTCTGTAAATAGGCCAGCTAATATAATTAATGTTCTACAAAACTCATTCTATTCTATGTTATATCTATAATTCTATTCACCAACATTTTATGATCATTTTAAAAGCAAATTTTGTTTGCATTTCATATATATTTTTCTTATTATCTGCACTTACTTATATTATACCTATTTTAGTTTGTACAACGATTAGTAATCGATTTGCGTAAGATCTAGGTCATCATTGAAGGCCTCTGAAATGTCCTTTTGACTCTGCAAGACGCGCTCCTGGGTTTCTGCAATCCGCCACAACTCGTCGTCGTCGTCGCCCATCAGCATAGAACGATCCCCACAACCCTTGATATCCGGTCGCATTCTGGCCTTGGGTGGAGCTGGTCCGTTGGTGCGTTTCTGCCGGTTTCCCATAGTTATCTGGCTCTCCTCGAAGTAGTTGTTTGGATGGTTGATGGTCGGCTCCACGGAGGTGTTGTGGGTGAGCTGGAAGTACTTTCCACAGCCGATTTGATAGTGACCGCGCGACACAAAGAACATCACTTCATCGACGGCGCTGGCAGAGAGGCCGTAGGAGGAGAGTTTGGTTTTCAAAGAGCCCTGGTCCATGTACTTATACGGACAACCATGGCAATCACCCGGAGTTGCCATGTCCTTGATGATCTTAGCGCAGGAGTACGGTGTGTAGTTGACCATGGAGCCTTTCTTTCCGTAGTTGTGATAGATGTTGTACTCGTAACTCCGCGCAAACTTGTCGGCGTCTATTTTCTTGGTAAACTCTTCGCGCCAGAAGCGTAGCGAATCCTCTAGTGTTACGCCGATCCCCTTGAGAAACAGGCCGTACTGCATTCGGCCGCCGTGTTTCATGTGATGGTTGGCGCGAATGTGCTCATGGCACATGCGCATGCACAAAGGCATTGAAGTCTTGGAGAGCTGGTCAAGGGATTCGATGGGTATGGCTGCATCCCGACACACTGTGTAATCCTTGCCGGTATACGAGTTGTGCAGGGCCTTTAGCATGCGAGAGATGCGCTCGTCGCCTTCGACTTCCTCCACCAGACCCTTGGCGGCCTGCAGGCCCTGCTCGATCTCGTCCTGCTGCCGAGTGCCCACTATGGACACCAGGTCGTGGGTGTTTACATAGGCAAAGCCTGCCTTCAGGTAGCATCGACGACCCCTCACCAAATCCAGAACCTGGGTGAAGGGCACCTTGTAGAAATCCAATAGCTCGATCTTGGCCACACTTTGGCCCGCCGTGCTCTCGTACAGGCCATCCTTGACCTCGTCCTTCTGGGCCTCCGTAAGGGGATGGATCTCGAAGTTGTTGGCCTCAAGGAACTGCTTCACCTCGGAGCTGCTGAGGGCGGCGAACTTGTACCGGAAGAGCTCCATTTCGCGGGCCACGAACCAGCGTGTGAGGTCTTCGGAGCGGCAGTAGGCCAGCCGCAGGATAAAGTGGGAGAGGTAGTCCCGCCGGCGGGTCTGGATGTCCGCCTCGTGTTTGGTTCCTCCGCCTGCGGAGCAAAGCCTCAGGTAGCTGCGCAGTCCCTCGCGAGTCAGTTCCGCACTCACGTACTCCTTCCACTCGTCGGAGAGCAGGCGCAGATTACGGGTGCTGGCGCGGTCGAGGACGCGAAGAAGGCGCAGGCGCTCCAGTGCCAGCTCCTCAAACTCCTCGATGTGCACATCGTCCGTCGGCGGGTAGTGGTACATCATCACATTGTGCGGATACTTGGTCTCCAGGCTGACCACCTCCACCTTGACCTCGGTTCGCTGACGTTTCTTTAAACGGAATTCCATGGTGCGGCGGTAGCGTAAATTAAAATTTGTTTAATGTCGTTTTGTTGTTTTGGCGCGCAAAATACGTATGGACAAGATCAGCTGTTGGCATTTCTACCGATAGTTTTGCAAATCATTATCGATAGATGTAGGTACTTTTTAAATGTACAAACTTTACACTTTGGAATTGCCAACTAACCATTTTTCGGTTTAACCGCTAAATTAGTAATTGTTTATTGTTTTTTCGGCCACTGGATATTTGTATTTTAAAATTAAATATCCCTCAGAATTTTTCCTTTTGGATACTTTAACGGTGTCCAAAAAATTATAGTAGGAAAAAGGCCATAAGAAGCATGTCTTTTTTAATTTTATTTTAATAATTATAAGTATTAATATAAAATACTTACTTTATTTAAGCAGTTGGCAAAAACAAAATCTGTGATACTTTTAAAAATATATTTATGTTTATAGCCTATTTAACTATGTTTATTTTTTCTTCATCAATGTTCAACGAAGTGTTCTATTTATTTTTCAGGTACTTCCAAATCTGACTAGAACTCTTTTAATTAAAATTAGTTTATGCTAGGTATTTATTATTATGCACTGAACTCTCTGGAACTAATGCCTATGACCTCAAGTGATCGTCTCAAGCGTTTCCAAAACAATTTTCTCTCCTCCAATTTAGGACTCGCATCTCCTTTGCCAGTCGGCCACTTTATATAAGTTTTTACATCCATAAGATATTGCAGAGTTTTTGGTCGCTTTCTCCGGGGAATATCCTCTAGGAAAACCAAAATCAAATGTTCCTTGCTGACCTCAAAGATTCTGTAAGAGAAATATGTAAGAAATTGTTGGATTTAAATGGATAAGTTGACCTTACCTATGTTGTGCCAAATACATTTCAAATTGACACCAGTGGCTTAGCAGGAACTTGGAGGATATTATCAGCATTAGGGAGTACGAACGGTCCATGCAGGAGATAATGTTATCCAGGATAGTCACTCCAATCTATAATTGAAATAGGGTTACTCACAATTAAAATATAAATATTTCAGAATGATGTAGGTATAACATATATAATTCATAATTTTTGAAGTAAAAAAATTTTCATTTCCAAATGGGTTTACCTGAAAATCTCGTTCGTGCAGACATATGGATACATCCCCAGTTTCCTCAACGTTAGGCAAGAGTTCATTAAGAACCCAGGGACGATCGTTTTGGCAGTAGCTGATGAAAATATCGTAGACGGCGCTGGGATCCCTTTTAGATATATGGGTAAAGTTATCCACCGACTCCTTTGAGGCACTGGACAACAGAGCAGCAGACTTCAGGGAGGAATAATAGTAGTGAATGTGCCATCGCTTAAGGTAAATAATGAATCCGAGGATGCAGACTCCAATTATACTGCCCACCACTGCGATCACCGTGTTCGACACCCTGTGCAATACCTCCGTAATCTCACTCATTGTTCGCAACTGGCAGATGAGTTCATCCACCTGGACTTGATCGGTGTTATTGAAACAGTAATATTGACTTGCCTCATAGTCGAGCAGCTGGAACTTTAGGGTGAGATCGTCTTCGAATTCCTCCCTATGATATGTGGAGGCTGAGGAGCACTTGGAGATCACCTTATAATTGTCGGACGAGAAGCGCAGTTTGATTATATGATTTTCTAGATTAAAATCCCTGATGTTGGAGTAACTCTTCTTTAACCAGGGAAGAAAGCGACTCTGCCAGAGCTTACGATCTATGTTCAGTGTTTCGGCCGCCGTAAGTAGTTCCTTACCAACCGAATTCTGGGTATAGTTCAGCAGGCTATAGGAGCATTCCGCTTCCTTATTGTTTAAAGCTGCCACTTCGACCACCGCTCTTAAATGACAGTCACATATGAAATTGTTTTCCCCCAGACTTAGGTAATCCAATTGCTCGAAGTCTTTCAGCATTTCATCGGACAGCATATTGATGGTATTACTCCTCAGGTTCAATACCTTCAACGCGGAGTTATTGTGAAAAACACTGCGATACCAATTGCCCACATGGTTAGAACTCAGATCGAGGATCTCCAGCGATTTAAGGGACTGAAACATGGCCGGAGTCAGGGAATTAATGTTATTACCCGCCAGACTCAACACTTGAACCTTCCTCAACGACTTGGCCCACTCCAAACCCTTCAGGTTTGAACGCTCGAAATATAAATACTTTAGCGTATCGGAAATGCTATCGAAAGCATCATCTATAATGTTGTAGGACAGATAGGGATTTCCCGACAAGTCAAGGCCCTCCAGAACCGTGTTCTTGAAGATGGCACTGCTCACCATGGGAATGGCGGTGTAGCACAGACTTAGAAATTTCATCTTATCCCCCAAATGGGCGAAGGCCACCGCACTGTTTCGGGTCATCTTAGAGTGAGATAGGTCCAAGTAGATCAGTTCCGGAAGGAGTTTAAATACATTCTGCTGGATCTTCAGGCCGTATATCAGACTCAAGGCCATTTCAAGAGTGGGCAACTGCAGTTGGTAGCTGTAGGTCAGGAAGTTGGTGAAGGACAGGTCCAAATACTGCACTCCCTGGATGTGGTAGAACGTGTCGTGGTTTATGGTCATTATCTTATTGCCCGACATGAAGAGCCTCCGCAGGCTACTGACGTTCTGAAACGCCTCCTTGCTCACGTACTCGATGCTGCAGTTGCTGATGTCCAGCTCCACAAGTCGGGGCAATTTTGGGAAACTAGCCCAGGCTACGGATTGGGCTAGAGAGATATTGAAGATATAAAGGAAAATGAAAACTTTATTTAGATATTATCTAAAGGAAAATGTGGTTCTTCAATTCGGAACATTTTCAAAAACCAAATGTGATATATTAGAGATTGGAAAATGTATTAAAAAGTATGAAATTCCCTATTATTTTTTTTCCAGATAATGTGTTATGTGTGTAATTGTGTTTAAAAAAAGTCCCATCCTTAGTTTCAATAAATGTATCCGATTCTATAAACCTTTAAGATCTGAACATTTTTAATGAAGGTTTCTAGAACTATGTAAGGTATTACTCAATTTTTTAAATACATTTTTTAAAATTTATAAACTAGGAATAAAAAAAAAGTGTCTAATAAATATAATTCTTTATAATTATTATTAAAAATCCGTAAAATTTGAACTAAGGAGGGGTCCTTTTCAGTTGTCTTACATGTCTTTCCGTGATGATGAGACCGATCTCTCAATAACTGAATATAGTACGAATAGTTCAGACCGGTCGTGATTGAGTGTGTGTTTGGGTTGTTTTGAAAGTACAGAAAGCACTCCCGATCGTACAGATCGGTGGCATTTTGTGCGAGTAATTCTTCGCATTTGTGTTGTGTAGTGTGACTTGGGTCCGCGCGGGCTTCGTTTATTAACCGACCAAAGGCTGAAATTGCGAAGGATAACTGGCCATCAGAATATGGGTGCCATCGTATTTCTAGATCTAGGAAACAAATACCATTAAACTTACCTTCGGCATCTGGTATCAAATCAGCAAACTTGTTTCCCCGCAATGATAGAAACTTTAAGGATTCCTTCATGGAATAAAGGGTCTTGTACGGAGCAGTGCTCAGCGTATTAAAGGCAGCCGAAAAAACCTCTATTCTGCATCTGAAGAACTTCCTCGCAGATTTCGCCTCACGCAACAAGTCTGAGTCCTCCTTCAGGTTACCGTGCGATAGATCCAAATACATTGAGCTTGCTTTAAGTAAGGAATTATGTTTATAACAAAATATGACAAAATGGCATGCCTCAAAACTTATTAGTTTTGTTTCTAGCATTCAGTCTTGAGGAGTAAAGATCTGTAAAACTATATATTGTTCTTGATGAAATGATATAATAGAACTAACTTAATCTCTAGACATTCGTCCTTGTAGACTCCATTCATAGAGCATACCGGTTTGGTCTCTCAAGTACCGCATATAAACATTCATTACAATCTATTTTGGCCAAGACCCTGATAACAACAAATAGCTTTGTAAAATCCACCCCCCTAATTCACCAGTTATTCAAAGCTTTTTCCGATAAGAAATAGACTAATAGTTAACAATTCTAGTGGCTTAACTAAACACTAAAAAGCTTTTATCAGCAGTCGATTCGAACTGAGGGAAGCGTGGAAATATATCGCTTTGATTACTGTTAACAACGGTCAATCAAAATTGAACAGTTAACCGATTTTTTATTGGGCCTATAAAGGGGCTTACCGAGTTTCTTAGTTGATTCCTTCAGAGTTCCATTGGGATACAGCCACCATATCACTTTGTCTTTAATCATATCCAAAAGACAACTATTGCCATTATCCGATTCGTATCCCAGCATGAGGTTCTTGAGATCAGCTCTTTCCTTACTATCTTCATCGGACTCCTCGTTCGATGCAGTTGATAAGTCTGGTTCTGTGACTATCCTGTTGAGAGTCGAATGCTCGGAAGATATGTTTACAATACTTCCCATCAGTAGGGATACCAATATAGTCAGGTCCAATAAATATTTTGGGGACATTTTAACTTTATTGCGCACTTGCTTTGCTTGCAAAATGGTGTTATAAATATGATTTGATTTCGCAATCGCCCAGATAATCGCGTCTTATTGAAATTATATAATCACTGGTAACTTTTTTAGTATTTGTAGCGTTAAATCACTTTCGTATTCACTGGTTATTCCGAAATTTTTTAAACATTTTGTGTATTTTTTACCGCTTAAACGAAGCACTCGCCTTGGATTCCCGAAAAAGACTGACTAGATTAATAGCCTGGCTAATGGTCAGCCGAATATTATTGGTAGCAGCGATACAATACTGCCATGATACGGCTTATCAATTTTGGCAATATCTTTCCTTGAATGGCCCGCGACTATCAGCGTATCGCTATTTCGGTGGCAGAATGCGTTCCGCCTCACGCCCACGCACTATTTCCTTATCGGATAATTATCTCGTCGTCGGGAAATGGTGATTCGTACCATACTTCAAAGGGATCGGTGCTCTGGATCAAGCGTAGACAAAACGGTTTGTTTTTGGCCAGCACACAAACTAAAGTGAGACGGCTTTTTTGAACCACTCGAGCACTTGGGAATGTTTGTAGATAGAAAAGCGTTGATTTACTGAGCCCATTCAAGACTGATAAGAAACCGTTTGACAAATCTTAGATTATCAGTTGATCGCCGATAGGAAATACTAACCACAAAAAGACCTTGCTACAGAAATGTGCAATTCGGTGTATCAATTCCCTTTCAGATATAGCATATATGTAGGTTATTGCCCGTAAAAATATTATAAGACAGCCGTAGTCATCCATAACGTTTACAGAGTAAGTGGTCATGAGCATTTCTAAATATTAGTAATCTACATCTGATAACACAATCCTTTTAATGACTCTTCAACATTGTTTTAAAGTCTCTTAAATGTTCAATCTAATTTTTTTGGCAAGTCAGCATGCAGCAGACAGAGATAGGTTTATTAATAGAGCAACCTAATTTCGTTGGTATAACTTAAAATTGAGTAAGTAATCTAAAATGTCCTTATTTCGTAATTGATTATTTCGTCTATGTCTCCGAACTTGAATGCTTAGGTTTATCGTTGTCCATACTTATTGTTTGGTATTTCAAATTACAAACTAGGTACAAAATCCGCATCATTGATGTTAACTGCGCCTCGGATAACCGGTAGAAAACCCATGGTTAGTTTTGAGTTTCCCCTAACTAATGGAGAACGAGATCAAAAAAGAGAGTGGATGGTTCCCGCTGGAATTTGAGTGGAGTGGTAGGGGGCTTGCCGAACCCGAACTCTGAGCTCAATTTGAAACAGGTTTTGAGTGCTGAGATCGAATCTCGGCTGTTAGTCGACATTCAGAGCTCAACTGAGGCGGTACCTGGTGGCGGAAGAAAGTAGAGTTTAATATCTGGGATAAAAGGCGATTCAGTCCCAAGATAACTAACTTATCCGATACACTATGCGCAAATCGCCGGGCAGTCTGGCCTCGGAGGCCTTCTCCAGTTCCAACTCCTCGCTAAGCAACTCGTACAGCGATGCCAGCGATCTGGCCAACTGGGAGGAGTACGTGGCCACCGACGGGAGTCTTTTCTACATGGAGTATGTGAGAAATGCGAAGACTGGCGGATCGGCGGAGCGGCGGGTGGAGTTCATGCGCCGATCGCTGCGCCTGGGAAAGAAGTCGTCGCGTCGCCAGCCACACAGCAGTAATCAGAGTCAGAATCAGAATCAGAATCAGAGTCAGAACCAAAACCAGTTGGATTCCCAGACGGAGCCGCAAGAGTTCCGATTCTCACAGTTCAAGACCGCTGCCCCCGATCCCAAGAAACTGGAGCTCGTGATCACAGCCGCCGATCGCTTCCGTTTCGGTCGACGATCCACAGCAGTGGAATCAATACTTGGCTTCCGGGTGCTGCCCTTTCCGGATCAACCGGAATGTCTGATGGTCGATGGTTTTGTCCATGATCTGAGTGCCCTGCAGCATGGCATTAAGCGGGGAGATTGGTTTAGATCCCTGAATGGCATAGAACTGTATGCCAGCAATGTGGATGAGATACTGCAGCAGTTTGTGGAGCCCACCCAGGTGTGTCTGGGATTCCAATCCTGCGGTTCGGCCAGTGCAGTCTCACCAACCGAACCTGGGTATAATCCAAATCTGCAGGATGAACAGGTGTGCAAGGTGGAGAACTTTGCCGTCTTCACAGAGAGGTTCGAGCAAATGTTGATAGCTGAGGGTAATTCCGGAAGCTCTGAGAGTTCGCCTGATATAGGACTACCCTTTGCCATGTTGCTTCTGCCACCAGAGTGCTATCAGCATGAGCAGCAACAGGATTCGCTGTATTACTTCCCAGAGACCCCCGACAACTTCCTCTTTAAGGCCCGCGGCAGTTTCCTCACGCTCCACGCCGTTCTCAGCGAGCTGCACACCCAACCATTGAGCTCCCGTCTCCTAGTGGACCAGGTGCAATACCATGTTAACTACCGAAGACTCAATGGGTTTCTGGTGCTCTTCGCCTTCGCCGGAGGACTTTGCAGCGCTGCGGAATGTAGCCTAAGATCGGATGAGCTCATAGGATACATAAGATTCTCGTTGCCTGGTTTGGTCCTCGAGAGCTTCAATCAAGAGGGAGAAGCGGGAAACAGTTCGGGCCTCAAGCAGTTCCTTCGGCACTTTTGTGAAATCCAAAGAACTCGTCTTTTGGCCCGATGTCGTGGTCACATCCGGTTCGAAGAGCTCCTCGGACATTCCCGTAGCTTGCCGCTGCCAAAGGAGGCACAGTTGCGAATCTTCGATGCCCTCAGTGAAATGGAGGCCATGGATTACCGCAACTGGAACGATGAGCCGCTTACCACACATCGGGAGTTCTTCATTTACGGAAGCGCCCTGTACTTCGATGGCTTCCTGGTGGCCAGCCTGCTTCCTCCGGAGGTGAGGGTCAGTGTGGAGGGCTTCCTGCGCTGCCGGGGGATCTTCGAGCTACTTGGAGCTGCTCCGGGGATCAGGGTGCGTGAGATGTACGTTTGGGAGGAGATCGTCTTGCCCAGTGCCACGGGTCGCTACTTCCTAACCATCTGCACCAGGAACCACCTGAGTCTGGCTGTCATCCTAAAGATCTTCGATGCACCGGACATGGCTCCGGACGCCGTGGTCGGTCCCTCGCTTTTCTACATCGAGGAGATACAGGAGACACTGGATCACCTGGTGCAGTGTGGCATCGAATCGCTGGCCATGTTCTGGACCGTCTCCAACAAGCGACCTGAGGTGCTGGAGGCCACTGCCGGAGAGAGCAGAGATCCCGAAAAGGAGCCTAACAGCCGGCTAGAGTCCTTCCTCAAACAGAAGCTAACCGTTCTAAGTAATTCGGTGGAGGAGGAGGCCCAGTTGTGCTCCTCGCTGGGCGGCTCCTCTATACACAGCCTGACGCCCAGTGACTCCCAGCTCCATGGTGCTGGCGAGGATTCGGACAGCGGTTCCGATTGGGAGAACTTTGCCGTACAGCATCCCCTGCACTACGGTTTGAACCTCGGGGCCGAGAGTCACAGCCAGAGCCAGATGACGGAGTCCATGTGGAAGGAGATAAACAACGTGGTGCCGGTGAAGATATCCGCCGGCTGGAAGAACTCCGTGCTCCATTACGTATACATCGACATAGCCAATGGGTCGTTGTTTGCTCCATTTACGGACAGTTCTGAGAGTTCGTCCTTCCTGTCGGAGATCCGTCAGGCATGTCACATAATTCACGCCGTGCTGGAGAAGTCTAAGCACTATCGCAGACAGCTCTCGGAATCCTCAAGAGCACCGACGAGTTCCAACGGGCACAGTGGAAACAGCCATGCAGTGTCGCTGGTCAAGGAGCACGGCATGACCCTGGAGGTCTGCGCGCCGTCCAAAGCGGAGGGTCAAGTCCAATCCCAATCTCAGTTGCAATCCTCGAAAAGCAGTCGCTTCGTGGTGGTTGGTCGTCTGTTTCAGTCGCCAGCCAAGGAGGTCTACGTGTGCCACCGCTCTGATGTTCCCCAAAACATAGTAGAAATGGCCTTCCGATTGTCCTTCTTTTCGATGGGATAGGTGTTTTCAAAAAATAAAATCAAAATATTACGGATGAATTATTGATATTTAAATACATTTTTAAATGTTTGTACTTGCCCAATTTACATTAATGTTTTTATTTAATTATATTATGCCCAAACAAATCTATTAAGACAAAATCTTTTATGGACTCGCTAGACGTTTTTATATACACATACCTAAAAACTATAATTTTTAAAATTTATATTTCATTCTACAAAAATGAAAGTTAAGTAAATTATTCGAGCTGATCGAACTTATAAAAACCATCCTTGCGGATTTTTAAAAGTCTCAAATTCAAACTTATACAAGATGAGATGCACATTTTTGTTACATCGTAGAGAATAAATCAGTATTTTACCAAAAACACGAAAATTGTGCGAATGTGTTTTATTCATTCATATTTCATACTAGAGAAACGATCAAAAATGGTCACTATTTTTAGAGTTCGGTGGGAGGGACCCATTCTAAAAGTAGTTCCACGCACCAGAAGACAAGAGGCACGCCGAGCAATAAATCCACGTGAACAAGCGGCTCAAGGTGGTGCTGCCCAAATACTCTGTCTTTGCCAATTTCTCAAAATACGATATTGCCATCGACAGTTCCGTTTGGGTGTTCCAATACGAAACATATATTTTTGCTGAGCGATGGATAAGAGATATCTCAGGTGGATCGTATACTTGGTTCTCTTCGCCACGGTTATGGCATTGGAAGAGGAGACAAACCGAGGATTATTAAACATCACCAGCAATCCCGCGGAGACTGAAACGGTTTCAAAATTACCCAGCGAAGTTCAAAAAGCCGTGTGCACTGTGACTGCGGGGGAAGTAAAAGCATCTGCCGAGGCTGTCACCACAAAAACACTGAAGGGAGTCTGTGGATCAGGTGGGTAAAGTGTTCTCTTACCCAGGCATTCTTAAGGCTTACAATGCGTTATTTACAGATGAAATGAATATGGCCTTTCGGAATCTGGAGAACAGGCTATACGAAGAGCTCCGCGTGATGAAACTGATTTTGGTGCATTTAGCAAAGGCCAATGGTCTGAAGGTCAACACTGCTGTGACAACACCTCTGCCCACTCCCCTTCCACCCGTGAAGCCATTGAATCCCGCTCCACTGCCTCCCTTTAAGGCAATAGATCCAACTAATTTAAAAACTGAGGAAAACGAAGTTGCCCCTGACTTTGGAGCCAAGAGGACACCCACTCTTAAGAACCTAGAGACAAATGGTAACTCAAATTTGGGAGCACGAGAAACCGAAGTCGATAAGTTCAATAACACAGTGCTGGCCGATAGGGATGTCAAGTTGTTCACTTACTATTGGAAGTTGGAAAACGTTACAGAACTCATAGAAGCGCCAAATTTGGTCACAGTCAGTAGTCCGATATTCAGCTTCAAAGGTAAGTAGTTACTTTTAAATTGAAAACAAACCTTACCTGATTTATAATCCTATTAAAGGCAAATCATTGCAACTCAAATGCACCTTCCATCACATGAATCGCGAGTTGCTGAACCTGCAACTAGGATATGGCATCTTTAACCCACAATCAAAACCAGGCCAAAGCAACAACGTCTTGATAGAAATGGGCGGAATCTTCCAGAACACCAAGTGGACCGAAGATTTGCAGGTGAAGCATAAAATTTCCATACTGGATCAGAGTGTCCGGATGTCGCAGGACCTCAGTTCTCCAGCGCTAAGCAAGCTTGACATGGGCTTCTCCATTCCGAACAGCGTGCTCCTGGGTAGCTCCTACATCAAGCAGAACGCTCTTTTGATTCAGATTCTTTTATATTTGTGAATGACAGAACAACGTTTGTATACGGTTGGGCAATTAAAACAAGAGAGACCAAAACCATGTGCTTTTTAAAAAGACCTCCACAATCCGCATCCCATTTACAGCTTGCTACGTGCACCCTTTGCCTTGATGTCGAGGAATGGCAGTGCGATGGGGTACAACTCCTTGCACGACTTGAAAGTCACAATATCGCTTATCGGCTTGTGTCGCTCCATGTTCGTGATCTCCACTGGCTCCGTCTCGGTCGAGGCATTCTCGTCTGTTTGCTGGGACACAATGTGAACGGATAGAACGCGTCGCTCATCTCCATCCTTTGCGATGAATTTCTGCAAAAGGAAAAGGGATATCTTAGGCAGGGAAGCTTTAAGATTAACTATATATGCTCACCTTGAAGTAATCCACAAAATCGGCCTTGCTTATCTTACGCAGTATCGCCACCTCAGCCTCTTCCCTTTCAAAGTGATACGTCTGCATGGCTATTTCGCCATAGAACTGGCTGAATTGCTGGAAAATAGTCTTCGGCTTTTCCAGCTTCTTCACGGCCAAGGCTTCCTTATGACGCTCGAACTCATCCAAGGGCATGTCCTCAATTACTTGCTAAGGATATAAGAAATATAAATTAAGATGCCGATTACTAAAAAGGGAAGATTATTACCAGATAAGTCTGCAAAAAGTTCTCAATACGATCTTCTACGAAGGACGGGTGCTTTGCGGACTGCACGATAATACGAATTCCATTGGCTCCATTCACCTTACGCACTCCACTAAACACGATATAGCCCAGCTGCTCCTTTGTGCGCAGACAATCGTAGCAAGGTTCGGAAAGAACCTGGGATACCAGGTTCACCATTATGTTTGTGCGATCCGTTTGAGCGCCGCACTGCAGGTAGAGCTGAGTGCAAGAGCTTTTGTGGAACTCGTTCTCCTTCTCGAATAAGTAGCTGTCGCCTTTAAAGGATTAAAAAATATCCATTTAATAAAGGAAATGAAAAATTTATTATCTTACGCACCTGCAAGCAGCTTATACTCTCGCTTCTTCAGCATTTGCCGTGCCAAAATGGGAAGCTTTGACGCATTGGTAGCCTCCAGTCGGTTGTTTACTCGGCCCGCGATGTCCGTAGCCTGCTGCTTGGTCACATTGCCAAAAATAAAGCACTCTGTGTGCAGGCGCTGGAAGAACTCCTTGGCAAAGTTCAACACTCTGTCGTAAGTCACAACTTTAAAAGAAAAATTAATAAGCACTATTATCAGAGATAATTTCAGCTATTTGCTTACGTTCCATAGCGTCCAAGAGCTCCACATTGGCCCAAGCATTTTCAGTTAACAAAAGAGCTAAATAGTATATGGAATGCTGATAGGGTTGCTCAGCCTTAAAGTTTTTCAGTGAACGTACGTACTCCTCCTTCAAGATGTCGAAACGTTTCTCGTCGATGGAGAAGTCAAACAGGTGATCTAATAGCTTCTCCAGCAGCACAACCTGCTTGTCGCTGAAGCCTCGAATGGTAAACTGCAAATGAGGGTAATTTAAATTTTAAAATAGTTGAGCTAAGAAGAGTTGCGCAGACTCACATCGATGCCGCAGGTCTTTCCCATCACACTAAGCTTCAAACTGGCTAATTCCGCGTCGTACAAATACTCATTGAGCTGATCCTTCAGGAGCATAACCATCATATGGTTCAGATTGCAGTTTAGGGGATCCAAATAAGCAATCGGATTGGACATGTCAAACGTCATGCAGGCCTTCGGTTTATTGAATTGATTGTCCTGTTTGTGCCAGACCCTCAAAATGGGCGTATCCATGATGATGGTGGGATGCTTGGGGGCATCGGCTGGAACCTCGGAAATATCAAAGTTCGTGGGTATGAAGCTGTTTGGCAGTGCCAGTTTCAGGTTCTCGTTAAGATCACAATTTTCCCAACACTACAAGTGAATACAAAATATTATTTTTAAGAATAATGCGAAAGAAACCCATACTAACTTGCACAGTATCCTTGGTCACGCGCTCAACACCGTACTTAGTTTTGTAGTAGGGCTCCGCGAGGTCGCAATCCTGCTCAAAACTCTGGCTCACCATTACGATGCGGCTCTTGGAGGGCACCAGCTCATCCAATAAACTTTTTATGAGGTCTGGACGCCATTCGTTGCTCAGATATGGAGCGATAAGTACCTCCTCCAGGGGGAATATCTGCATGGACGAAACGGCATGCGTGACTAGGTTTTCCGGTTGCTCCTTCTCCTTGAACCGGAACCTCATTTCGTTGAGTTTCACACACTCGTCGAATATCCACTTCTTGGGACCCTCCTCGCGCAGCATTCCCAAATACTGAAACACGATCTTCACAATGTCATCTACGTGCTCAAGACCCTCCTGTGTTAGGTCGACCACAATGTCGAAGAATCCAAAGCCGTTTTGCGTGTTTTGATGTCCGGCCATCAGACTGTAAAATATAAAGGTTACTATCTATCAAGTGGGTATCAAATCTTAATGAACTCACTCATTGCACCAGCCCAGTCGCCGCAGTTCGGATAAAATGCTTCCCTTGCCCTCATGACCGATGAGGTGCGTCAAATAGTTATCGGGCTGTAATTAAACAAGAGGTTCAGTGGTCTAGCAACACAGGAATCGTGTTCCACATCGCAGTGGTACCTTAAACTTACGCCCGACTTGTAGAACTGCGTCAAATCATCAGTGGTAAAGCTGATCGTTAGCGAACGAATGTCTTTAATAGGCACTATTTTAACCTTTTGCCCATAGCGCTCCTCAGCATAGGGATGACGTGGCCAATCTGGAACCGCGACGTTTTTGTTCTCGATTTCGGAAAACTTCTCCAAGACCATACCCTCCAGTTCGTCCAGCGATTCTGTCAGAAAATAATTACAAATTTGTAAAAGCCTTTATAAGGAAACCTACCTTTTCCAATAACAGCCAAGCACATAATGTTGGCGGAGTACCACTTCTTGTGGAACTTGAGCAGCTCATCCCGCACATCTATGTTCTTGGACTTGGGTATTTCCGAAAGGGTGGTCTTGTTTCCACTGCCGAACTTGCTGTAGGCATGATCCGGTTTGGCCAAGTGCCGGTTCACCTGCTTAATGCGCCACAGGTCGCTTGGCAGGTTCTTCTCGTGCTCGGAGTTTACCTGTATTGGTATAATTTTAGTCTTGCCAGGAATAAATCTCTATACCTGGAATTACCGCATTGATTTCCCGCTCAGTGGCGCTGGGGGTAAACAAAGGTGCAATGAAGAACTGGGCAAAGCGATCCAGAGCTCCATCCAACTTGTCTGGCGCCACGTGGAAGTGGTACTTCGTCATCAGGGGATAGGTGGCGGCGTTGCTGCTTCCACCGCTTTGCGAGAGGTATGTGGTGTAGCCGTTCTCGTGGGGATACTTCTCGGTGCCCAAGAAGAGCATGTGCTCGCAGAAGTGGGCCAAACCGGGCAGGTTCGTGGGATCGGACATGTGGCTGCAGGCGGACACGTGACATATTTATTAGATAAGTTTTTTTTAAGGCTATCTAGATCCACTTACCCTACTTGCACGGACAAAGCTGCCGCCGAGACATCTGTTTTGGGATCACTGATTAGCAGGACCTTCAGCCCGTTTTCCAGCTGCAATCCTCGATAGTCACGCGTGTCCTGCAGCGACTTTTCAATGTTGTTCAACCTATTCGTGATTTATGACAATTAGGTGACCCCGAAGATATAATGACACTGCAATTACCTCAGAATGGGCTCCATGGTCTCGGGCTTTCTGGTCGCGGACTTTTGTGAACCCTCGGCTATTGTCATCTTGGGTTTTCGGAGCGTACCAATCGATCGATGGGTAACTAAAATGCTGGTCTTCACCGCACTTGACCTGTGCGAAATAAGTGCGATTTAGTGGAGTCCACAGGCGTAAATGTGATTTATTGCTGCCAACCGTCGACCCAAAATCGCTGTGAAGGCAAAAATCGATTTTCTGCACGTAAGATACATTGAGATTGTGAAATACTACTAACGACGGAACTCCGGCCTCACGTTGCGCTCGCACTTTCGTATTTGGTAGGCGAAGTAAGTTTTTATGCCGGTTCTTTCCGCGTTTTATCAATTTTAAAATGTTTTAGTCAAAAAAATTGAATTCTACTCGTTTCGCAACAACTACAATAGCAAATAATCATCTGTTCGCAGGGTTGTCAACGCTCCAAAAAGGGGAACTAGTTCAATGCGCTGCCAGATCGTTCCATTTGTAGTGGTTCCAAGGCGGAGCTGCCACTTTAAAAGCTTTTGTTGCTTGTCATTCTGATATTAATTTAGGAACAGATTAGCTAAACATATTTCTTCGGCTTTTAAATAAGCATTTAATTTATTGTTTCTTCTAGTTATTCTGTAAAATAAAATATTTTCATTAATAAAAAAGTATGAAAGTCAATGCCAAGAAAACATGTACAATTTGCAAATTCTTCAAATGATTCTCTATATCTGATTCATTTTGATTAACGGAATATCGAACACCTGCAGCAACCCTAAAAAGAAGCGTTATAAAAATAAATATTCCGTGAATTCCCGTTCTCAGATCATCTGGCAACGCCACGGTCGCTCCCGCCGCAGTTGTCCAACACTGGCCGACTGCAAATAGAAGAATTGCGGGCTGTAACTGCATTTTATTTTTTTATTTTATTGAAAACAAACAAACACTCGCTAATCCGCTGCAGTCGTCAGCCAGTTTTGCGGCGATGCCATTTTTTCGCCATCCCAATCCCAGCCGTAAAGTGTGTGCCTGCGGACCACAAACTGCGTCGCCATCGGTGTGTGGGTGCAGAAATAAATGCAAATTGTTGTAAAATGCCGTGCTTTGGTGTGCGTGTTGATAAGTGCAATACGCAAAAGTAAGAACATTGAGGCAAATCCGTATAATTCGTGGGATCAGGCGTTTCCAGAGGTGAGTTCCGCACTGTCCGGGGAGATAAATCTGCTTCGTTTCGACCAGCAGTCAAATTAAGTTCTAATCAAATTGTTTACCCACGAAAGTGGGTTTTGTGCGAAAAAGTGCAAGTGCTGCTGCGTAAAGCTTAAATATGGTCTTAAATTAAACGATTTATCGTTTTTCTTTTTTGTGGGGCCAAGTTTGGCCGGATTGTGGAGTGGGAACTTCAAGATCCCCTCTAAAAAGTTCCTGTGCCTGTGCCCCGTGTGCTTGTGTGGGTTTGGTAACGGTATTTGTGACCGTTTTGCAATGGCACGAGAAAATCAATAAGCTGGCAAAATTGAAAAAAGGAGACTTCCCAGACATGGCAGAAAATAACCCAAAGATTGCCGCTATGACGGTGTGTAGAATACATATGAACGTTAATTATGCTAATATGCTTCTCGCGAACCGAAATGCCCAATGTCTAATTACCTGACCAGTTTCACACCTCGCATGATGAATTACTTAGATCCTGGCTATAAATAAATTTACTTTGCACGTGCTAAGTGGGAATTAAAGATTATAGTTTGCGGAAATATGTTACAATCTAAACTTCAAGTTGGCTCATTTCTATATCCATTGTTTACCGTTGGAATAAGGAAACACCATATAAAAGTTTAATTTTAATCCTTAAATACCTAAGCAAGCTAACTTTTTATTAAGTATACTTAATTAAAATTGGAATTACATTTGAATATTTGATAAATGTTGTAATATTTTGATTATAATTTCCTTCAGTATTAGGAAAATATTTACGTTTCTAACAAATAGAAATTCAATATAATAACATTTATAACATGGATTATAGTGATTCCTCATACTTTTTTGCAAGAAAAAGATATGTTGTGGGACCTATAAAAGCCATAAACAAAGGAACCGATTGCAATATAATTCTTAGGGTGAACGTCCGTCCATGTTTATAGAATGGAATGAAATGTGTAGTCTTTCGATAAAAGCACTCCTGTAGAAAAAAACGACCACATTGGTTGCCCGACCACTCAAAGTGTCTTCAAATGTATTGTTATTGTTTTGGGTTTGGACCGCTTCCGAAAATAGACTGCAGCTCGTCGGGAAGATCGGACAATGGATTCCCATGCAGCGTGGGCCACGCAGGAAGAAGCGTGCTCATTGCGACTGGAAGATTGATGGCAGATATTTTTAGTGCAGGCCCAATTAAGTTCAATTAGAGACCAAAAGAGCTTATCGCTCCGTATCTGATACACTGGATTCAACTTCCTTCGTGACAAGTAGAACGGGGGTCAATGAATGCGTCGCATTTTATAGCCTGCGGTAACTGGATTCAATAGATTTCTCGGTACATATATAATACCGAAGTTCCCATAAAAATATAAATCTGAGAAGCTTGTGTGAATGGAAGGCGTGGAAATCGGGTTTTATGATAGCCCATTGAGTTTTCCCATGTGATAAACATAAACAAACGGAAGGTCTATAGAGTCTATATTAGTTTATAATATAGACTAAACAATAGGTATTTTCATTATTGTAGAAAAGTTTTGGTGTCTGTATTGAAATCCATTTACAAAATTATTTTCACTTCACAAAGCAGTTAATCAAGTTGATCAATCAAACTCCATAAACTGCTCAACGGGGAATTAAGCATGTATTAGAATAACTTGACTTCACACTATATGCCTTGCAGACGATACTTTGTTTAATTAATTATTTAGCACCATGATTATTAGATAAGAATTTAGCATTAGCGATAGACTTTACCAAAACGTAAAAGCATTGCAGTGATAGCGATTCTACGCAGTTTACTTTTGTAACATAATAAAAAGAAATCCGAACAAATAACGTGTTTTTAGAAGTGTTGTATATTTGATTGTTCTTTTCTAACCTGTCTATTCTTAAAACTTCTATTAAATTTAAAGTAATATGTTTATAAATTATTTTATTTTTTAATTAATGAATCCAACCATAATTTTTCCGTTCCAGATTCCATTAACTAGTCGTGGCATTTGAATTAGCGCCTAAGTGCATGCCCAAAATGGATAACGAGCAACCGCACCAAGAGTTGGTGAAGTGCGTTCTGGTGGGGGACACGGCGGTGGGCAAGACGCGACTGATCTGCGCCAGAGCCTGCAACAAGCACGTCTCGCTTTCCCAGCTACTTTCAACCCATGTGCCGACCGTGTGGGCCATCGATCAGTATCGCATATATAAAGATGTATGTTGCCATTGAACTTGTTCAGAACCATCCAAAGTACTCCTGCTTTTTCCTATTTAAAGGTACTCGAGCGATCGTGGGAGGTGGTGGACGGAGTGAATGTCTCACTTCGTCTCTGGGACACATTTGGTGACCACGACAAGGATCGACGTTTCGCCTACGGCAGGTTCGTGACCATTTCAAGGCGTCCAATCTAGAAAACTATAGTCTTCTCCTTGACCAACAGATCCGATGTGGTGCTGCTGTGCTTTTCCATTGCCAGTCCGATTTCCCTGCGCAACTGCAAGATGATGTGGTATCCGGAAATTCGCCGCTTCTGTCCGGATGTGCCCGTAATTCTAGTGGGCTGCAAGAACGACCTGCGCTACATGTACCGCGACGAGAACTATCTTTCGTATTTCGGCGAGAAGGGAACCTTTGTTCGGTATGCCTAGCTAACAGGTTTCAGCCGGTTCTCTATAGTTTTCATTTTCAAATTAAAAATCTTGGGGGTCTTTTTATTAATTGAATTATTGTTTAGGTAGCAATTTATTTTTAGCTTTTTAATGAAAACACTAAAGTGCTTTTTCAATGTTATCGAACTGAGAAAAACCGCTTTTACGTGATTGCTGTGATTCAATATCATTTGTTAAAAGCTAAATTAAGGGATTTATTGAGTTAATTGAATTAAAAAGTATAGTTGGGAGCACTGTAAGTAACTTTTCGTAACACTTTTAATAGTATGCAATATTTTTGTTGATTTTGTTTTATATGAAAATGTTGTATCTGTAAAAATACTTCAATTTCTTAATTTAAAAATGAATTATTTTACAGGGCCGCATTGAAAAGTGACCTGGTGATGCCGGATGAGGCTCGTGCCGTGGCCAAGGAGCTGGGAGTGGCCTACTACGAGACCAGTGTCTTCACCTACTTTGGGGTGAACGAGGTCTTTGAAAATGCCATCCGATCCGCGTTAATTGCGCGCCGACAGCAGCGCTTCTGGATGACGAACCTGAAGAAGGTACAGAAGCCGCTGCTGCAGGCGCCGTTCCGGCCACCAAAGCCCCCACCACCGGAGGTCACCGTAATGGTCGGGCACTATCGGCAGGACATCTACAACATGTTCTTGTCGCAGGCCTACACCGACCTGGTCCTGGTCGGAGGGGGTGGCACCAAGTTCGCCGTGCACAGATTCATGCTGGCCGCCGCGTCCAGCATCTTCCAGCGCCTGCTAAGCACGGAGCTGACTGACATGGGCGGGCGGAGCAGCAGTGAGTCTAGCATGGTCAGCTCCACATTCGGGGAGGCCACCATAGCGGACTTCAATGACGACACTGAATCCTTGATTCGTTACGAATCACGCACACAACGGTGGGTCTGGCCTTCTGTTCCTGAATGGCTAAACGTTAAAGTTATTTTCACTTTAGCAGCATGTGGGAACACTTGAAGCGCCGCTCCAGTTATCAGGCGTTACCTCTGATGGAGTCCAAGCGGTCGAACGATTTGTACAGGGAGCTGCATCATCCGGTCCTGCAGAGCATTCGCCTGGTGCACGTGGAGAATCAACGGGGTGTGAATGGCCTGCAGACAATAGTCACTCTCAGCAAACTCATCTCTCCACAAGCTTTGCATCAGTGCCTGAGATTTATTTATACCGGTACCATTGACAAGGATTGCAATAATTTCCAGGTAGTATTATGCTTGCCAGTTCTGTGAATCTGGAATTTGATAGTATTTAAGTTTAATCTATTATTATGTTGGACTGGCAGGAAATTAGAGAAGCTGCCGATCTGCTAGAACTGCCGCAACTGACTCAGCTACTTTCGAGGCCTCAGACCGTTATGGAAACCTCCAGCGATGAGCCAAATCCGCACATTTGTCTTGTAAGCACTTAGATATCTTTTGATGTACACACATTATGATTTCCTTTATTTTATTTTAGCGCATAAAAGAAAGCATGGAAAGGCATTGCATTGGTGACGGTTGTTTCAGCGATGTCACCTTTGAATTGGACGACGGTTTGATGAAGGTGATGATACTGTAAATAACCATAGTTTCCGAAACTATTGAACTTATTTTGGCTAAATTACAGGCACACCGCGCTGTGCTTGTTGGCCGTTGTGATGTTATGCGCGCAATGTTGCTGGGCGACTTTCGTGAGGCGCATTCCAATGTGGTAGGATCGGTCATAAAATCCTTGAAATCTTCGGTATTAATGCAAAATCCTTTCACTTCAGATCGTATTCCCTGGCGTTACAATTTACACATTCCACAAGTTGCTGTGCTACCTGTATACTGACCAGATTCCGCCAATCTCGGCCGTCAAGTGCCTCAATCTACTGGAGCTGGCCAACCGACTATGCCTGCCGCGGCTGCTCAACCTGGTTGAGTGCCGCGTTATCGAAGATCTCACTCTGATTTCCCAGAACGAAACCAATGAAACGGTGGATCACTGTCTAAAGTTGTTGGAGCCAGTAAAGGTAGAAAAATATAGATTTCTGATAGAAGCTTATAAGATAAACTAACCGCTAAAGAGGTTTCCCAGAACAAATGTAGCTTGATTTAAATTTATATCTACTCCTTAAACTTCTTTCCCCAGCTGCACAACGCACATCAGTTGGCCGAGTGGTGCATGTCGTACCTTTGCGTCAATTACAACCTTATTTGTAAGTTCTCACTCAAGGGCCTGAAGGCGCTGCATCAGGATAATCAGGAGTACTTGCGGGAGCACCGCTGGCCTCCAGTCTGGTATCTGAAGGACTACGACTACTATCAGCGCTGCCTGAACGAGTTGAACAAGGAGCTGAAGCTGAAGAGCTCGAGGCGCGAGTCGCCGAGCGATGACGAGGGCTGTCTGTGCTTCACGGGTGGTAAGTGTTTCCACTTCTACGGTACTATGTATATGCTCCACATCCCAGCACACTTGACATCCCAGACCCAATACTCCAGTCGGAGGATCAGCTCAGGTTTTAGTTTCAGCCAATATAATTCTTCTCTAATTGCTAGCGCTAGAGGATATATATTGTACGTATCACGGTTTGTACTCGTAGCCAGGTGTCTCGTTATGGTTTTCCTTTCCTTTTTGATTTCCTTGCTCATTTACAACGACAACTCCATCATCGTAATATTAATGTGCGACATTTGGTCAAAGTATTCTCTTGCTGGCTGTTAGGTAAATCGAAGCGCAGCGGAGATGCAAGTGGTGGAACCGCAGAGAACAGCAATGCCGATAATCAGATCTTCAACAGCGCTGGCAACTCGATCAATCACATCGACCTGGAGGCAGACATGGACCTGAATCTCTGACACCCAGCCCTCGGGCAAGGAAGGTGCGTAATCTATCTAAAGGGATGGAATATGTTATACCTATATACCTTTTTCAGATCACTGCGCTTCATTGTGATCCTGCCGGTCCTGATCTGTTTCATCTGTACGATTTTAAGTATTTTGATACTTTTCCAAATCCACACATAACAAACCTCAAGTACATTCGACTTGACGTGGGCGGGTATAGCGGCTGGGAATGGAGTTGGGGGAGTGGCGCGTCTGCTTTTGACATTACGCAATATATAGAGCGCAAATTTGCCTTAGTGATTACTAATACATAAGTCCAACATAGCTCGACCCAGAACAAAGGAGCATACTGCAAAGTGCTTCGGATTTCTTATATTTATACGCCTATATATAATGCAAAGCATAAACGAGTATGCACATGCACCTCGGCGATATCGCTGTATTGCCTTACGATATATCGGTGTACACTCATCTTGCTCTGCACGATTCCATGGAATATGGGAAGCGAATAGGACGCAGACATGTGTATATCCTTATATTTGTACCTTTACCTAAGACATGTATGTATGTATATTTTTGAATTCCTACTTACGGAAACATTTGTCTAGCCATAGCCCTAAGCAATACTTTATGATAAGGACGCATTTTGTACAGAATGATAGAATAAAGCAATTACGAACAAGTGTTCTTAACTTCTCTTCCTTTAAAAATAAGTCCTCATGGTAAATAATTTACATTTCATTTATTAACTTAAGTAAAAGAACAGTTCACATGCCATTAAAAAAACAAACATTTAAACGCATTTTAAAGGCCCTGTATAGCTTTCACGGTTCTGGTACTCATTTGGGACACAGTTCCATCCTCAACCTCCAGATCTTGCAGCATGGCAATCATCTCTTCATCAGTGATCACAACCTCCGGCTTTTCGTTGTTATTGATGAGTGGTCCGAAGGTAGATTGCGATGATTCGCCGCACAGTTCCCGCAATTCCCGTTCCAGTTGATCCTCCTCTTGGCTCGCTCCCTCGACAACGCTAGTGGACAAGACGTCCTGAACTTCTCGGTGCTGGTCGAGAGTATCCCGCACATCGGCCAGAACTTCGTCGACATTGTCGTACTTCAAGCCAGAATCCGAAAGCACCTTCTTAAGGGTATTTGAGCCAATTTTGTAGGCGTCTAGCACAACGCCACTGTTTTGAGCCTCATCCACGCTGCACAAAAGGGATTCGATGTTGTGCAAAGCAAGGCTGCGACGTTCTGTTAAAGCAAAATAAAAGAACATTACTTGCATAACTAAAATAAGGACCTTCTGACTGAGAATTTACCATGATTCTTCTCCAATAAATGCCTTTTTCGTAAGTATGTCTTGGCCAATTGCCGCTTGTTTTCCTTCAAGTACTGACGTGCTTTTTCATCGTTTACCTTGATATCTTCTTCCAATTCTTCTAATTGCTTGAGTAACTGGGCCTGCGTATTCTGGAGATTGTGGACGGCATGATCTTCTTGGCTTATGTTGAGATCATCGCCGTCGTTTTCTACATTAAAGATTGTCCATGAAGAAGAATATATAACTGGATATATAACTGTCATATCTTACTTGGAATTTTGATCAAGTGAATTTGGCGTTGTCCCTTTTCCACCTTAAATTCCAGACCAACGATTTGGCGAACATTTAATGCCAGCAAGCAAACGCAGTAATCTTTGTCTGAATGGATGCGCACTTGTTGAGCCTTGCAAAGGGACTTGAAGGCCTCGAAATGCAGGAGTTTTCCGCTGTTTTCCGATAAGACTTTTTCGGTTATGAGGTCGCAAGTGCTCTGTAAAGATATGCAGGGTTCGAATTACTTATGTGTATTATAAACGTATATTGTGAGGATATATTTAGATATCTTATGGACAATGCAACAGATATTGGTGCTATATAGTTGCAAAATACTTGTATAATATAAACTAATACATACGTTTAAGACATCAAGGTGAATCCATTCCAGTAAAGAGGAGGCCTCCAGATCCTCCCCCACCACGCTCTGCTTGATTTTGGACCAGCTCCATGAGAGGGGTCGCTTTACCAGGCTGTTGACCAGCCAGCCGCTCCAGGAATTCGCCGGATCTTGTTCGAATTCACTGCGAGACCGGATCTGTTTCGTCTGCTGCATATCGGATATCACTGTGTCCAAACAGGCGGGCAATTGGTCACCCCGCATGAACTGCAGTTGCAGATCCCGTAGACTGAAGATGGGTCTGCCGGAAAACTTTAAGTACTTCGCGATCAGGTCCTTCCAGAATTTCATTTTTCCGTCGTAGTCCTCGGTGCCCAGGTGTCGCGGTCGGAACATGGCGAACTGCACCTGCATCCTGGCATTGTCCTTCCAGCTCTCAGGAAATCTGAACTGTCCCGCTCCATTCTCCTGGTCCTCGCTTGCAAGGCTCATCCTTAAATCCTTAATTTCCTCAAGATTATAAAAATTGCGCGTCTTTTGTGTTTGTGTTTTGGCTATCAGCTGTTGCGCAGTGTTGCATAATGATTGATTATGTTCGCAGCTTGCTAACAAAATTCAAAAAAACAGTTATATTTGATTTTATTTGAAAATCATAGATAAATATATTTTTAGGATTGTTTAAAATATACAGTACTAAGTAAGAACATTTAAATTGAGATCAAATTAGTTTAATATTTCTATACTCGTTTAATAAATACATTGCTTAATAGATTAAGAAAATAAGTGCCTTAATTTTCTAACATGCAATAAAGAAAACATGAAAATTAATATGGGATCAATTTTTTTACCCTTTGCCATGTTAGTCAAAGGGCTTAAGAAATTAAATATTTAAAATAAAGTTTAATTTTTTAAGCTTGTTTTTAAAAATATAAATACATGCATCGCGCTTTCCAGCACTGGGTTTCTCGATAATTTGGATATCGATTTACTTTCTCCCCATCCCGAATCAGCTGTTCCAATTCAGGCTACTAGATTAAAAACTTCTGACGAAAATTTTGTTTTGAAGTTTTTGTTGAGTGTGCGTGGAATTCGAAACGGCTTTCCTTGGCATTGGAAAGTAAAACCATTCCAGAGGACCCCGGGAATGCATGGAGCACGGAGCTAACTTGGCCGAGCAAGGATTCCCGCAGCATCGATGAGAGCAGCACATCCCAGCAGCCCCTGAGTCACGTTCTTAGCCTCTTTCGCCACGGACCCGCTTTTCCCTCCAAGATCTGGAAGAATCTTGATTGCCAGAAGTGCCGGAGCATCTCGACGTGCGTGCGATTCTCCAGATTGTCCATTGTTACACGGTGCACTGACTCCGTCCAATTGAGTCTTGCGAATCATCATGATGGAGGACGAACAGATTAACCTGCGCAATCAGTTGGCGAGGGGTAAGTCGTGATTTAGCATAACTCTGGAAGATTGCGTCTGCATCTAGCAAAGTCCAATAGACGAACCACTTAGGAAGAGCTCTGTGATTTATATTTCTACAAAGAAATTTAGATTTCCCTAAGATATCACATAGATAACGAATATTTAAAATGAAATTAATTAACTGATAGAAAACTAAGTTTCTAGTATACCGATATAAGTATAGATAACATTTTTTAGTTCGACTGGACAACAAAAATGATTCATTGCCTATAAACTATCTTAGCCATAAACCTCTATGGTATTAAGTACTATGAGTGAGAGTCTAACATTGTTTAGAAAGTAATCACATGATGCTGGGCAGCCAAAAACCCATCTAAAAAGATTCAGTGATGTCTATTTGGCGGGATCTAGCAATCTTGTTTTAAAGGGGGTTCTCTAAAAAACAGTCTCTTAACTTAAAAACAAAAATGGTTGTAAGGCAATTCGAACTATGTTAAAAATATTCTTAAATTACCTTTAATAACTCTCACTTTTACAAAAAAAAAGTAGATTTTTTAATTTTATATCCCCACAACTATTATTTTGAGCACAGCTGTGGGTTTTGAACTTTGTTTATTTCTTTGGCTTACCCTGTAATAAGAACGGAATTTTTTAATAGCGTGAATATCGCCTGTTCAGCAAATATGTGATTATAATACTCCGGTCTGCCGCAGATATGGCATACTTCATTATGACAGTGATCTATTTGCACAAAATCATTGCAATACCCTACTTATATCGCTTGGTCAGATTTTATGCTTTGTACTAGTTACACAACCAGATATACGATAAGATTAGCTTGTAAATCACAATTAACACGTATGGCCAATTAAGTTATAATCGAAATCAGTGTCTGCATATGGAGAACGGCTAGTACTTTTCCCCAAAACAAATGTACGAATGATTGGGGTTTGTCTTACCATCTCAGCTCTCTGGGCCCGAAGCTTTTTTGGGAGGTTTCTCCGTTTGGAATTTGTACCATTTGGGGACGTTATCAGGGCTCTTATCACGCCCTCTGCGCCTGCAGAGAGAGTGTAAAGCCACAAGTGCGTCCATGGATGGCCAGATGATTGACTATGCATTGGCTGGGAATTTTACCAAGTTACCTAGGGGTAGTCGCCGAGGTAAATGCAAAGGCGGTCGGACGTAATACCGATCCACAGACGTCGTAGGGTTCACACTGGGTCGACGCTGCTCTGGTCTGGCTGTGTTTTAAATGTGTTTTCGTAATGATTAAGTTTGGGTTCGGCTCGCCGATGTCCGCTCATTAATACAGCCAAAGCATATGTACAGTGTACACATGGCGCTGAGTTCGTCTGGAGCTTATACATATGCGAAAGCCGCAGCGCAGCCGCTGCCGCCGCTTCGGGCAGTAAAATTTCATTCAAACGCGTTTCACGTCTGTTTTCGAACGGTCAACAACGGATGGGATCGGATCGCGCGATCGCCAGTTGTCGCCACCGCCACTCACTCACTACCAGCGATTTAGAAACCGATGAATTGAGCAAACAAACATCTTCCGCGACTGACCAATGGTCCAATCCACACACTCCCCGCCTGTGATAAGTGCCCGTCTCTGAACTTGTAATATACGCTGTGGTGTCAGCAAAAAAAAACTGGAAAAATAAAAAAATAATTAGGCAAACAAAATGAAAGTCCCCACGCGCAGCTCAAAATACTCATTCAATTTGAAAATATTCAAATTGCATAACGATAAGAAACCTACCAGCCCCAGTCCGCCAACCTCACCTGTGATCTCGGCGAAGCGAAACTCATGGCGCGCTTCGTGGCGATCGGCCCTGGGCGCCAAGGGCAAGTCCCTTGGAACGCCCTCAGACGACAGAGATCCCATCGATCTGGAGGCGGAACCAGGGCTTTTCGAGAGGATGAGGTGCCACAGCACCTGCTCCACCTCCTCCTGCGCCGATCAAATGTTTCCCGCCATCCAGATTCCCCAAGGCGACGAACTCATGTGTAAGTTGCCAGAGTATCCTTGAAGACGCCAATAACTCAGTACTCCGATTTTCCATTCAAAATGAAATATAATTTTTAAAAAAGTATATTTAATCTTCCAAAGACTTCAACTGGTCAAAATGAAACCTTGTACACTTTATTTTCCATACAATTTGAAGGATCGTTGTATATTATAGCAACTGTATATTTATTCATTTTGTTTACTGTATATTCACAAATAGAAGATGAAAATTCTTTAAATTTCCTAAAGTTATAATTTAAAGAAATAATTTTCTCATAAATTAATTTAAAAAAAGGACAACATTGTAAACTGAGCGAAGGATTTTTTTTGATTCCCAAACATAAGTGTTTTGAACATTTTTAAGCAGACATTTTTTACTGACATATCTCTGTCATTATCGTCTATTGAACCCGCCGAAATTTCTAAAAACTCGGCATGTCTTTTTGCTAAACATACAAATAAACAAAAACGGACCTAGACTTTGTCGGTTATAAAGTACATAATGAAGAGACGAAAATCGCCGGTCTCTTGACTTCATCTAGTTCAAAATTAAGATTGTTGAAAGCTTTGGAGTGGGTACATAAATAGAGAACAAGTTAACCGACTGATTAGATAAACCCAGCGGGGGACCTCGGGAATTGCTGATCGGCAAGTAAAGATCGGGTGAATTTGGCGGAAATATACACCTACGTGTATGTATTTGTAGTGTAAGGTGGTGGCCGCTAAATGGTCAATTCCCTGGTCAAATCAGGCAATACCAGACCACGATAAGCTGCGTGCTCCGCGCCGGAGGGCAGATAAGAAAGGTGTGTTTACCCGCTCGCTGCGCACATGCGTTCATTTCGATTCCATACGACTCCCCATTTCGCCAGTGTTCAGCTGTTTACGGCTAATATATTATCCGGCAGCCAGTCAGTCATTCAGTTGGAGCCATCGACGTGTCGCACTTGGCTGTGGTTGTGGCTTTTGCTGTGCCTGTGGCGACCGAGTGAAATGTTTCCGGTTTAAGCAATCTACATAGCATACAGGCGAACTGTGCTCGTAATGAACCCAAAGTTATAGACACTCACTCGCACATAGACATCCACACTGAAAACGAATCGAAACGAAACGAAAGCTCCGTGCTGGAATATACACCTCAAATACGCATTGCCCGGGTCCCTGGGTGAAGTGGAATAAAAAACAAAACGAAACGCGTTTAACAGTGATTACACGACTGTGTTATGTGCAGCGGATTCTACACTCGGACGGAATAAACCTACAGGCGGTCGGAATAAACCATAGCTCCAAGGGTTACATCATGCCGGAGGCCCTGCATTTTACATCGATCTTTGATCTCATCATCAAGAGCGGTTCGTGCACTTTCAAAGTCCAATTTCGTTCAGCGGACAGCGCAGGGAAGCCTTTACTCAAAGATTTATTAAACAAGAAGTCAATCGGCACAGAAATAATGATGAATTGGCTTCCCATTCATTATAATACTGTCTAGTTGTAAGATTGTTCAGACAGATGAGCTAGAATCCGGCGAATATGTTAAAAGTTCAGTACAGACTTCCCATTCATTTTAATTCAGCCTAGTTCTAAGATTGTTCAGATAGATATGAGTTAAAATCCAAGAGTTATCTTATAAAGTACATAAGTAAATGTACGTTCGTATTTCTCGATCCAAAACTTTTATAACACCTAGTTTTAAATTTTAAGTTTAACAATTTTTTTTTGTAATACATATAAAATTTTCATTTTTTCTCTTACTTGAGTATAATTTTAAAATCATACTTCGATTTATGATTACTTTCTATTAGCCAATATCTACTGTATATGATAAATAGATAATGTGAAGTACACGCGATACAACAACCTCTAGCATACCTGTATTGTGACATAGTTTGGCGCCGATTTGATCTTGACACCATGAACATGAACCGCTTTCAAACATTTAGCAGCTTGAGGTTCGATTTCTTTTTGCTCTTGTAATGTTTTGAAACTTGTTGCTTTGCCATTGAATCTGTGTCACAAACTTCCCGAACATGTTTGTCGTAGTTGGTTTGGGACAGGTTTGTTATTACAAGTCAATCAGATTTACGATTTAGTGTTGCAACACCATAAATATTTCCAGCCCTGGTTGTGAAACTCAAGGAACTAATCTAAATTTGACATTCGCTCCTATTAAAACACTAAAAATTTTTGCAATGTATCTGTGAAAATCCTGGGAGTCTACAGAGCCGCCCAAAATCCGTTTGTTACGAAAATGTGCCACCCAAAACCTCCTTTCGGCTGTTGCTGTTATTATTTTACGGGTGCAGGTGGGTCATGTTTATAATTCCATCGATAAAGAGAGAGTTAAAGGACCTATCAAAAATATATTATAATTATAAAGAAAGAACTAATGGTTCCATTTTCACCTTTTCAGCGATGCCATGGTTCGGCATGGACATCGGCGGAACCCTCACGAAGTTGGTCTACTTCGAGCCCAAGGATATAACGCCGGATGAGCAGGATCGCGAGGCTGGTATCTTGCGAAATATACGGCGCTACTTAACCAAAAACTCGGCATACGGCAAAACCGGACATCGAGATACGCACCTACAGGTGAGATGATCCCACTATAGAAATGTATATTCGCCACTGTGGAATGTGGATGTGCGAATTTGTAACAAAACGCTCTGACGCGGACCATTAGCATCAGTATTATCATCTGAAATATTATCAATCTCAGCGGCCCGAGTCGCGATATTTGCGCGTCCAGTCAACAAGTCATCTTTGGCGGGTCGGAACGGGTCGTCTGGTGATTGAATACGGTTACGGGTGCCAGGGTTTTCGAGTGTGAGTGCCTCTGCGGTGACCTTCACTCTCGCGCACACACGCCTACACAGAAAACAAAAGTGTAAACTAGTATATTAATTTATTGTTTTTATACACTTAATCTTAGACTTGACTAAAGGGAGAGAGTGGTTGATTATAAAAACAGTTTTCAATTGTACAACGTATTTTAATTTCTGTTGATAATCTGTTTTTGTTTTCCGTGTACCATACGCTAATCTCGCACAAATAAGATTCCTTTGTTTACCTTTAAAGCCAAGTGATTCACTTTTAAGTTAATACGTTGGCTTTGTTTTGATTTTAACAAACGTTTATAAAGTAGTTAACACAAACATGAAAGCGGATATTGAAAAATAGGTCATTCGGCGGCTATATAATAAAAATTACTAAAGAATCTATTTAGTGTATCAGATTTGCGTAGGGGAAATGAGAAAGAACGTAGTAAGTGTAAAAGTTCGATACTTAATTAAATGGTCAAGTTAGAAAGTCGGGGTAAATGCCCTACCCCAAAAATGGTTAATTATTCAAAGACTTGGACAAAAGGTTTCTCACTTTTTCAAACACCTATCCCAAATCATAGAAGCTCCCGTTGCTGGGTAGTTTAATTTGTTAATTTGGTACAAATTACCCTTGTACTTGGACTTTGGATACTTTAAATTATAATGGCGACCGTATATATGTACAGTTTATACCCCAGAAACAGTTTGGAAAGCTTGTGCTATGTGAACGTTGACTTTTGTACTCTCCATTTTTATTTTGTAATGGGTTCTGAAGTCTAATTTTCATATTTACGAAACTTATTTTCTTTCTCTGTCTGCGAAGTGATATAACCATTTATATCATTAAAAATTCTTTTGAAAAGCCCTAGGAAGGATACGTTTTTATTAATAAAAAATATAGTTCTGATAATATGAGTTAAATATATTACAAATAAATTGCTTTTTTTAACGGTTTCACTAAATGATTTTCTTCGTATTAATTTCCTTTTAGATGGACAATGTCGAGATACGTAAGAGACGTGGCTCCTTGCATTTCATTCGCTTCCAGACCACCGACATGGGCAATTTCCTGTCGCTGGCCAAGCAGAAGGGCATGGCTGAGCTGGTTACCACGGTTTGCGCGACCGGCGGCGGAGCCTTCAAGTTCGAGCAGGATTTCCGTGATCAAGTCAACATGAAGCTGGCCAAATTCGACGAGCTGGACACGCTCATCAAGGGCATACTCTTCGCCGACCTGCACAATCGCACCGAGTGCTATTACTACGAAAACGCACGTGACATTCTGTAAGTGGAGTAAGTGCTGGCTACGAGGAGTTTCTAACGATTTTAATTTACCAAACATTTTGGCAGAAAAAGCGAGAAGCGACAGTTCAACTTTTCGCAACCGTTCCCGTTCATTCTGGTGAATGTCGGATCCGGAGTCTCCATCCTGGCGGTCTACGGTCCGGACAACTACAAGCGCATTTCTGGCACAAGGTAAGTTAGCGTTGGGTTCCATCACTCATAACACATTTTTAATCTCGATTTGTCTCTCGTTTGCTTAGTTTGGGCGGCGGTACATTCCTGGGACTGTGTTGCCTCCTCACCGGCTGCACATCCTTCGAAGAGGCTATCCAACTTGCCACCAAAGGCGATAACAGGAAGGTGGACAAATTAGTTAAGGATATTTATGGCGGCGATTACAACCGCTTTGGTCTGCCCGGAGATTTGGTGGCGTCCAGGTAAATTATCCCGGAAGTGAGAGCACAGGCAACCAGTTATGAATATGCTTTTCATTTCCAGCTTTGGCCAGATGCACCTCAATGACAAACGTGTTTCAGTATCACGTGAGGATTTGGCCAACGCCACACTGGTCACAATAACGAACAATATTGGCTCCATAGCAAGGATGTGTGCGCTGAATGAGAAGATCGATAGGGTAAGATTTTAGAACAATATTAAAGATCCAAAACTCATACTTAACCTTACATATTAATCCTTTCCAGGTCGTCTTTGTGGGCAACTTTCTGCGAGTGAACCCCATTTCCATGAAGCTATTGGCCTACGCCATGGAGTTCTGGTCCAATGGCACAATGAAGGGTCTCTTCCTGGAGCACGAGGGATACTTTGGTGCGCTGGGTTGTCTGCTCCAATTCAACGGCGAGCTGGCAGCCGCCCTCAACGATGGAGTGGAGCATCCCATCCACACAGCATCAGATGCCGGCGAGGGCGCAACGACGCTGCCCTCGGCGGATGAGCCACCAGAGAAGGCACCCACAAGCAAACACTCCACTAGATAGTCGCTGTAACCACATGTTCCTCCCGAAGGCACCCGATGTGGGCCATCCGATTGTAGTGCATTGTACAGTAGACCTAAGATCTATAAGGCAATGGCAATGACTTTGATCCTTCGCAGTTTATCTCGGTATTTATCGTAATTCTCTCTCGGCTTTAGTTGTAATTTGAGGACGCACAAAATGTAAATGCATGAAATTACTGAATGGATAAAGTGCCTGCTAGCAAGCAACGAATTTTGGCCCAATCAAATGCCGAACCACAATTTATGTCTTAATTTTCCTCCGTGTAACATTTTACCATATGTTACTACCTTGCAATCTTCTACAATCTTCGGTAGTTTTTAGTTTCTTTTCTACAGTGATAGATGTTAGCTCTCGGAAAAGTATTACAAATACTTGACAATGGAACCGTAATTGAAAGTCTCGCGCGCAACAAATAGTTCAAGAGCATGTATTGCATACACCTAATGATATGCCCATGTCCTTTGACAATATTCATGTATACCTATAAGTTTTTACCCTATCGTTTGTGTACATGATTTAAGTGGATGTTTTAAAGTTTCTTTTTAGAATATAAGTTTGTGGTCATGTTATGATAGGATCCAATTTGTTGGCAGGTCAATAAAACTTGTTTAAAACAAACTGTTGGTCTTTTGGAGTCACAGAAATCATTCAAAATTTAATTTTGGACTGACCAATGCTTTGCTTACATAGTATTTTTTCATAATCGAACGAAAGATTCCAAATGGAATAGCTTTACTGATTCCAATATATCCTAATATTTGTAAAATGTATTGCACAATTAGAAGTCAAAAATGTACATCTTTACATCCTTATTGCTAAATCTACTTTTATCATAAACTCATTCAGTAATAAAATAGGTACAATTTTTTTCACAACAAAATAAGAATTATAATACAGCACAGCATTTGAACTTCTATTTTTTGGTTAAACATTTAATGTTGGCCCATGAAAATAATGACCATTGAACATATATAGGTGTTCTACATTTTACAAGTATATTTGGTGATCAGATGTATATAATTATCTTTTCATAAGTCCGTTAATATTGCTGTAGTCCCTCCGAATTCCACAGTTTGCCTTAAAGTCAAACACTCGAAGGTTATGATCGGTGGCAACAAACATATATTGGCTATCACATGCAAGGCTGTAAACGGGTGAAAATGCTTTGTGCTCTCGCGTCCTGCCCGGAAAGTATAATTGTACATATTGTGGCATTCTTATATCGTACAGATTGACTCGTGAATGTCTGTTGGTGCCGACCAGCGCCGCATACAGTCCATCGTACTCCAGCGAATAAAAGGAAGAGTCGAAGGGATCCTCCCAAATTGCCACATCTCGATCGATGCGTCGATCAAACATCCTAAACGTTGCGTCGAAGTTCGCCGTGAAAATAACTTGGTCATCTTTCAGTTTTAGGTCGTAAATGGCCATTGTGTTTGAGTTGAAAACCTTTTCCTCGCCACTGTTGAAAAATACAATTTAGTTGTTATATAGAAAGAAGAGTGTGTTGGTTATATGATCAAAAGAAATCTTTTTTCTACATATTGACCAAGTTCTTGTTTAAAAGAAAATATTAGTATGGTATTAACTAAACCACCATTGTGTTAAGCAATACAATTCGATAAACTCCCTAACTATGTTTATCTAATATCACCTATGGAAACATTCAAATTAGTTTCCAAGTGAACTTAGTTTGACAATATGAAAACCATTATACCCTAAGATTAGAGATTACCTTTCCACGTGGACAGCCCTCAGAGCCCGGCGGTCACCCTTGTCCGAGTAGAGACCCCCATATAGCCACTGGCCATCTGAACTAAGTTCAAGGGACCTAAAGGCGTGCGGCAAATTCATCACCATGTCGAAGTGCGCCATGCCGAACTCCTGGTTCCGCTGCCACAGTTTGCAACAGGTATCGGTGCTGGTGGCGAACAGATCTTTGACAAAGTCCACGCAGTACAGATACTCGTTGGCCGGATGCATTCTTTGTTCCGTAATGCCATCGGCATCGTAATGAAAGCACGACCCGCACACCCGTCCAGCGAATATGGTGTCCTGCTTCTTGACGAAATCGGAGATATCTGTTTGGGTGGACGTACTGAACTCCACCTCGTAGCGACGCTGCAGTGCATCGTAGCTGGTGCGCCGGTACTTCCGTAAGTAGCCTGCATGGGTAATGTACAGGTAGTTCGCCTCCAGGCACAGTTTGGTGCGAAACATCTGGGCATGGTGGAAGTAGGGGCGTTCGAAATAGGTTCCACTAACCCAGTTCTTGGACACCTGAATCCGTTCATAGTTTTTCTGTCGCTTTCGGTTCCTGAAAGGTTATCAAGGGCCATGATGTAATCTTGTACTTATTCACATCACCTACCTCTGTTCGATTCTGGGATTATTCCGGTGGCCACAAAGTAGGAGGTCGTAGGAAAGTGGGTAGAAATAGTGAGTGTCTATTATATACTCCAGAGCAGGGTCCGCCTTGCACAGGCACAGAAGATCCGCCTCCGAACAGTAGTCAAAGATGCAAAGCAGACAATCGGTGGTTAGATCTTTTAAACCCATACGGGTTGCATGCATCTTTGGATCTTTGGCTATAACTTTATAAATTTAGGGTGGCATTCTATCTCGTTTCCGTCGATATGTCTAGAAAGCGCGATAAATGTCTATCGATTGTTCCATTTTTGCACGCTTCTTTTCCAACACTTGACAATTTCCGTTAAACTTGATAGCCGTTAATACGTATTCAAAAGCAGGCACCGTAATAAGAATTATTTAAGATTTACATTTTATAAGTCCTGGTGAAAATTTTAAATGTATTTTATGGTCATGCTTTATTATAGTTGTTGTGTTCCAAATTTCTTGATTGTTTGATACTTTGTGGACAAGACAAAAAAAAGCTTTATTCTTACGTTTTATATCAAAATTCTTAATAGTACTTTTAAAGTACAAATCACAAATAACTCTTATTTACGGTCCCTGATTAAGAGTCTTTATTTATTCTAGTATATTTCCACCGAAGAAATCGACAGCATCCATTCGCGAGAAGATTCTGATTGATTTAGACTTTTACTCGAAATTCTTTATGAGCTCTGAATACACGTCATTGTTGCACAAAATAACGTAACTTGACCTGGAATTGTGAAATAAAAAATACAGCTTCGCTTTTTTATATTTTCATTTTTATTTGAAAAACCATAAAACACAGTATAAAAGTTTACTTCTTAGTAACTGCAGTTCAAATATCACAATGATGTTCAGGTCTAGTTATCGTTATCTCAGGAAATATGACACAGTATTTGCTTACTGGAAATTAAAAACTGTGTTTACTTTGCTTATCTATAGGCATTTTGCGGTTATATGAATTTAAAAATATTTTTGAAAGACATGAGCAAAAGCAAATTTCTTTGTTTGTTTACTTTTTGGATTCTTAAATATTAAGTTAAATGAAATACACAAAACAGAGTGTCATCATTCCAACTTAAAAATGTAAATTAACCATTACAGCTCTTTTTTGATCCATAAAGCTCTTCAAAAGATACTATCTGAACTTTGAGTTCTCAATGGTTAACAATTTCCCCCGGTTGTGCAAAAGTAATACAAGAAAATGCAATTCATGGAAATTGGTTATGTAGGTATTTATTCATTTTGATTGTGGTGGAGGTTAACTCATCAAGGCTAGACCTCAGGGAACCACTACGATAAATGACACTTTAAAAAATAAGTTGGTATCTTTACAAAAGTATTTCTGTAACGCAGAAGGTTGATTTTAGAAAGATTCGCATCGATTGATGTAAGCCGACTGAAATACACAAAAATAAATAGACAGGAACTGCACATTTTGGGGACAGAAGTCTAAAATACACAATTCTACGCACAAATGTGCCATGCGTACGATCACGTACTCATACAATAGCAACAATTTAAAGTTATTTAGAACACTGTTTCCGCAATTAGGCACGAAACTGCCGAGATTTTTGCGCTAAATACCTTAACTGAGCATTTGATTGACTTGAAATAGCGCACATACTGTCCGATCTGTCTAGAAAGCATCTCCTATCTCGTTGGCAATTTATATGCGGCTTTGTAGGCACTGCAAAATGGAACATAAAGTTTTACAACTTCTGAAGTGATTCAGAAAGTCCAGATAAAATCGCTGTTTCATTTCAGTACTCAAATAAGAATAAATAAGGATATCATATAATAGTAGACAATATTCACTTTATACAAGATAAGGCAGAAAATAAATTGTTAATCAAACAAAGAACTGTACGGAAAATCTTGAGAATAGAACCGAAGTCATAACAAAGAAAAGTGTAACGGCTATTTTTGGGTCAGAGAAAGCAGCGTAACTGTCACTGTTCAGGTCTTCATTATGGCTGTCAACGCACTTAAAGTTTTAGAACCTTAAAAGTGAATTTGTAACAGGCTAGACTCATATCTAGTACACCTTTGTACTTTCCATTTAACATACTTTTTACTAGGTTATGACCGCTTTTAGTGGTTTGTCAAAAGGTAATACATGGCCTTAGAAACCATCTGGCAGTTACAAAGAATTGTGACTCTCAGATTGGTTAAGAATGCGAAAAATTCTGGATCGTTCGTTCCGTTCTATAAGCCCCTTTAGAATCTTATCAAACTGTACATGACATTAGGTTTTACCCTTTAAGTCTCATGTTAAAAAGGGTTAAAGACCTCGAAGCTTCAAATACCCTTTATAATATCTACGTTCTTTTTAGATTACTTTTAAAAATGCATCATAATATCACAAGAAATCATCAAATTGCGTAAGAAATGATTTCATGACATTTTTTAGGATAAATATCAATATATTTATTAGATCAACTGTGATCCCAAAGATGTATAACCCACGTGAGATTGTTATGATAATAACTTTCCAGAATGGGTATTTCCCAGTCTGTTCTAGTGCGATCGCTCGTATCTAGGAAAAGTTCATGCGTGGCACTGAGCTCCAAAAATTGATAGTCACAATCTGAAGGTGACGTAGCCGTCAGCAGTTTTCGCGTTTTGCGCAGTTCTCGTTCTCCGTTCGGCAATTTCATAATCTGAACAAAGTGCTCGGCCACAGGTAAAACGCTCGAGCACACACAGAGCCAAAAATCGGGGCATACATGCGAATCGAAAGACCCCGTCACGTCGCCACACCAGATGACAGTCGTGGGACCTCCGCACTCGCAGCTATTCACAATATTAGTTTATTGTTATTGTAGAGCAAAGTCACAAATATTTCCGCAGGCAAAGTCACGTTCGCCAACCTGATAACTAAAAGTCACTTGGTTGCATTATCAACCTGGGAATCTACAAAGAAATAAGGAATCTCACAGCTGAGAATTACTAATATTCTGATTTTCCACTCTCAGAATTCTCTAGATTATTTGCAGTTTCAAAAGGTTGTGATCAATTATCACCTTTATAAAGAGTATAGATTAAACTTGAACAAAACAAAATAGAACTGAGTTTGTTTTGATATTTTGGCAAAAATATTTATCTAACTCTAATCAAATGTTGAATGTTGTATTAGTAAACAAAATGACGCATAGCATACGCAGTTCCGAAAAATCTTGTTTACTTCTGACTCATTGTTTTCATCTTTTGTAGCCATTTAGTTCTCTTGAATTTAAATAGAACCCAACAACAATGTATTTTATGCTGAACTGATAACTATGGTCTGTTTGAATGAGACAAAAATAACAAGAGAAATGATGAAATTCCACAAATAGATCTTGTAAAAATATCCCATAACCCTAATGAAAAAACACTACCTTTTGTAGTAATAATTATTCTTGGTGAGATCAAATTTCAATGTATTATTTTTTACGATTTTCACTTACAAGATTTTAATAGTAGACGAAGCGTAATACAGAAGTATTAAATAATAAATAACAATTTGCATTCGTTGCATTTTTTAACATGGAATCTAATGTGTTTTAAAGCCCAAAAACAAATCAGGGCGACTGTCCTTTGATAAGATCAACAGTTTGCAAAAAAATTAAAATGTTAAATGTATTGTACATAGGTAGGATTTTTTTTAGGAAGAATCGGTTGCAGAGAGGAGGCTGCGGAGCGGCGCGATTCTTGAACGGATCGGGGCCGCAGCGCGATTGGAAGGCAGTGAGTTCTTGTGTGTCTAAGAGAGTGTCTAAGCGAGGCTTTAAGTCTTTGTTGGCAGTACCACCTGCAGGAAGACGACGTGGAACGCAGTCGGAGTCGGCGCGACCAGGAGGGCCAGGATGTCCACAGTGCCATATCTTCCGATATGTCCTATCCCGGCGGCTAATCAGCCGACATTCAGCCGGCTGCAGCCAACGCGCCAGCGTGTCCCAGAAAGCTGCCCGTGGGTGACTCCACGTGCGCCAATCAGCCCATGTCCACATCCGTATCAGGTTCGGGCTCCGTGGACAAGCCGTTGGCATTCTGGGCCATCTGGAGTGTGGTGCGAGTGTAGTCCAGTGGCTCCACGCCAATGTCCTCGTACTCGTCCTTGTCGGCCTCAGTCGGGCACAGTACGCCCTCATCCTCGTCGATCGCATCGGTGGCTGTGCCCTCGTCCTCCTCCTCCGCATCGCTCCAGTCCTCGGCCACCTCCACGTTGACGGGAAGGTACATGTGGAAGGGGCGCTGCTCCCGCAGCCACGGTGTCAGGAAAATGTGGCTGGCAGTCATGCGTTCCGTGAAATCCTTTCGCAGTAAGGACAGTAAAAGCCAGCGCACCGACTTGGACAGCGTCATGGGGATCTGGACGTTGCCATGCCGGATCACGGTGATGAGGTTGCAGTTGGCCTTCTCGTAGAACGGATACTGACCCACCAGCATCGTGTAGAGGATCACGCCCAGCGACCACATGTCCGCCGGTTTGCCCTTGTACGTGGGCTGGGGGCACAGGAGTTCCGGGGCGGTGTACAATGGACAGCCGATCTTGTCGCTCAGAGTGTCGTCCTCGCCGTCGAGGATCATTGAGCCTTCTAACGATTCGTACTGCAGTTTGGTTCTGTAATGGCAAGAGCGAAAAATTCGAATAAAATTTTGATGTCTTTATTTCGATATAAGGTTCTATAAATAACAATTGCGATTGTTCCTAATAATAGATTTTAAGATATTGCAATGTTTCTTGGGAAAGAATGAGCTGGGATTGCTATTATTCTGATCGCAACTGTACCCGTCCATAAGACCCAGCGTCGAGCTCTACATATCATGTGCAATCCCTGGGACTTGCATAACCCCCGATTTTGTGGGGCCATTAGCTAGCGCAATATCGAAGAGACTTGAATCGATCGGCCACGGGGTTTCAGTTGTAGTTGTCGTTGTCGCTGGCGTTGGCGTGTGACAAGTCAAAAGGCGAATTGGCCGAGAGAGCATTGTGAGTGAAGTTGAGTTGACTTGAATTGGTGACGAAAGCGCAGCTTGCGACCCCCGACACCCATGAGCGAGTGCCTCCGCCCCTGCACTGCTCCACTCCCCCTCCATTGGGCCACTCCATTGACATTGGCCCACATTCGAATGCAAAAAGCAAAAAAGTAACGAAAACGCCTGCAAACACAGCGAATAGAGCCGAAAGAGAGTCAGCTGTGAGTGAGTGAAGTGACGTATACGTATCGCAACTTGTTGCTGCAACGGCGCTTCTGCTGGGATCCGAAATCCGAATACCACTGCGACTTGTGGGGATCGGGGTGTACGAGGGGTTCGCCGATAGCGAACCGAGAGGTATACAAACACACGGTCGCCGTGGTCTGGTATCCAAACATCCAAAAGAGCCAAACACAAAGCAGGCCAAAAAAACCTCGAGCTGACCCTGAACAAAAACAAGCTTTGAAAACGCGCCTCTCCTCGTCACAAATTACAGTGTACACTGTAAGAAACAGATTACCTTCAACTTGATATCAACAGGTGGGAAATAAAAATATGATTGGGTAATAAAATACTTTATGGTTATAGTACATTTTAAAAAGTGAAATTTTAAAGATTCTGAGATAAAAAGTTTTTTTATTTGATAGTTATATTGTTAGGAATTTTAAAAGATATAGCCTCATGATATTTTATAATATTGCAATAAATATAACATGGTGTTCCTCAAGTAAGTACAATTTATTTTCTTTATTGGAACTTAAACTTTCGTTAAATATACCTATGATCTTTGTATTTCTCTTTACTTATTCAGATATTTAATGTCATGCGGATATTTTTAAGATCAAGGTAAATTTTGCTGAATACAAGAATATTTAATGTTACTTTTTAAGATCAAGGTTTTATGCGAATCAATAAAAATATTATACAAATTTTTGCTGTGCATGGAATACAAGTGGAGATGTGAAGTAGAGAATAGTTACAGCTGGTGACCTCGATGCGGGATGTGAGGGGCTTTAAAGAGTGTCTTGGGAATCTCTTTCCCTCTCGGGTTTGGCACAAATTGAACGTGCGATAGAGGTTAAAATAAAATCAGAAACGAAATACGGAAAACCGGCGGCAGATAAGTGCTCAAACACCTTGGAAGTATTTATGTACAGGCAGAGAGCACACAAAATAAAAGTATGACCACAGATTTACATGAGTTTGTATATAGGAGGCACTGGGCATATAAATGCGTTAAAAATACAGAAGATCAGAGTCAGGGCCATTCACCGCATTGTGACCTTAAAATTTCGGTTCGTTGTTTGGATGTGCGTGTGTGCGCCCCTTCGGATATGGATATAAGGCTATAGATATGGATACACACGCCTATATAGTATGTACACTCAGTACTTTTATCTATAGTGGAATGGAAATGAGCGCTAATAATCGCATCGTATTCAAATCGCATTGAACACAGGTTGTTTATTTCTCGCCAAGGTGAGAGACATATATACTAGAGATAGAGATCTATGGGTTTCTTCCTTCCGCCGTTTTTGCACTTGGCACAGAACGACGAAATGACGAAAAAATCAGCAGATATTGCGCTAATTGTAAGCCATACGGAATCGGAATCGAACAATTGTTCACGTCATTCCCTGCTGATGTCAGGGGAAAAAAGCGATGATAATAAGAACGGAGAGACAGCGCGTTTTCGATACAGTCGTATTTATTAGCATATGCGAAAATACGTTTTGAGTGGAAGGTGGGGTCAATATTTCATCAGCCACAGTAATCAACACGTTGCTCTCTCACTCACAAGCTCAACAAATCAAGAGAACACTGTAGTAGGTGGCCTTCCCGCGTCACCCACCACCCCCAACCCACATTGCAAATGCTATGTTGAACAATTCTTGAAATGTGGCAATGCTAGCTTCCAAAATGTGTAATAAAAAACGGGTGGGCCAATATTTTCACCACCACTGTGGCACATTGGCCCTTGTGTGTCTGTACACAGATACAGTGGAGGTCAAGGGAATACGTTTTTGGTTGTCTACCAGAATAATAAGTAATTGTTAAATTGCATTAAAGTGAAATATTTGACTAATAAATAATAATAATACCAATACTTTTATATTTATTTTAAGTCTTGATAATTTGAAAAGATTATGATTTTAAGCAATTTAAAAAAATTAACAGTATAAGTATTTACTTCAATTCTAAAAAAAATATTTAAATAATTAACTTATTTAAACAGACTTGTTTTTCTTGCTGACTTTTAAGGTAAATTCTTTTTACCAAGCTCCCGATCTAAATATAGTGGCAACTATTATTGTCCCCTGCGCTGTGCATACAGACGTACGCTCTGCGTTCATGTGGCCTGTCAGTATAATTGTTTTTGTTGGCCTATTGGTGATTCGATTGCAACACTTGTTAAATGTTCAATGTTACCCACAACGACGGCGCCAGCAGCGGCAGCAACAAAAACAACATGGGCCAATAACAAGAGCAACAATTGTGGCACCACCAACACACGACCACAAACAAGATCTCTCGCTCATAACGAGTTTCCATCGAATTGCAAAATAAAGCGACTAGCCATATGCAATTGAGTTGGTATAAGGTGGGTTGGGGTACATATGTATACATACATATGGCGGTATGGTATATGGGGTTTTTTGAAGGTGTCACCCAAACGCAACTCACCTGGCCTCGTCGATGAAGTAGAACCGCTTGAGCTTGAGGTCCCTGAGGATAATCCCGTTGCGGTGGCACACCTGAACGGTCTGGCAGATCTGATGGAAGATGGCCCTAGCCTCCGTTTCGCACAGTCGCTTCTCGTGGCGGATGTAGGTGTGCAGGTTCTCGTACACTCCCGTCACCCCGCCCGTGGAGTCCCTCTCCTGGGGCACGGGTGCGATCAGGATGTAGGTACGATCCTTCGACAGCGGTATGATATCGTGAACGGGTCGGATCAATGGATGGCCATAGATGGTGCTGCGGCGCAGCTCCTCGTCCTGCTGCTGCAGTTGGAAGTACGCGCGCTGAACCTTGTGCATGGGCTCGTTGACAATCCGGCAGAGGAACTGCTCCCCCGTATAGATGTTCACGCAGCGCAGATTGGAGGCGGTGAGATCGACCAGGTGGCGGTATGAGGCGGGCGTCTTGGCGGCCACGGCTGCCGAGATATGACTAGGCTGGGCGCTGATCAGGTAGCGCTGTTGGATCAGCTTGACGGGCTGCTGGTCCGTGGGTTCCGCAGCGATGCCCAAGGCCTGAAGCTCACATGCTCCGCCGGGCGTCAGTAGCTTCTCCCGTATGGTCTGCAGCACCTTGGCATGGGCAAACTCCTTTTTCGGTGTGAACAGGCCCAGTACAGTGTCCTCCTGGCTGGAACTCATGCTGCTGCCTGAGGAGGAGGTGGACGCGACTGTTGGCGAGGCTGGTGATGAATAGTTGGTGGTGTTAACTATTTTACTAGTCGACGACGCTGCTGATGCTGTTCTGCTATTTTGACCGCTACTGTTATCCATGCTTGCTTGTTTACCACTTAACTTTATCACAGTTCTTGCTCTCGCTACGTATTTTTCTTATTCTTCTCCGCTTCTCTTCTTCTTCTTCGTGTTACTTTTGTTATTCCTCTTTAGCCTGGCTGTACTTGGCTGTTAATTGTTTTGACATTTAGCGACGCGCCGTTTAGTCTGCGATTAATTTCGATTTAAACTGACGTTTAAACTTAGTGGGTTAACTTTAGCTCGGCCATGTGCAATGCAATGCGGATATTCACTGACGAAATGCGGCGATTTTAAAACAAATCGAACGCTGCTCACTGATTTCGCGAAACGAAACGAAACGCGACCGTCTTCTCCGCAGTATTTTTTTGAATTGAAAATTGAAATTGAAATGTGACCGTTGTCGACTGCGCCTGGAAGAAGCACGAAGCAAAGAGAATGGTGAAACGCGCTCTCGTGTGCCGATCCGTCTCTCTCTATCTCGCTCGCTCTTGTTCGAGAATACGCATGAAGAAGAAGACCGAGAGCAACGTTATTTTTCAAAATGAAATGTCAACGGAGAGGGAGAGAGAGCGAGAGCGGGAGAGCGTCGTTATTTTTGAAAAAATTGCGTTGAACGCTGAAATTCCCATTTCCGACTCGATTTGAAATACGTCGCCTGTATCAACACTATCTTTACAGCAACCCTTAAAACTTGTTCGATTTTACATAATAATCTGCGCACTAATCAAACGTAGGCATAAGTTAATTAGGAAGGGGGTTAGTAAACAAATGGCATTTAAGATTCTAAGTTCAAAGTACTAAAAGTACAGTCAACCGATGTTCTATTTAGGTTCAATAGGTACCGCGGGAAAATATACCCGTATGATTTCCGCTATAACTTGAATTTATCTTTTGTGGTTATGAGTTTTAAATATGTTCATAATAATAAGATAATGTTTTATTTGTATTACCAGATTTCTTGAAGTACTTTTGAGGCAAGCACTAAGAGTCTTTTTAACTTTGAGATTTGTTATTTCTTCAAATTTTCTAAAAAAACGGGATACATTTAAAAATGTTCATATTGTATATGAAAAATTTGGAAAACATATATTTTACAATAATAAGTATAAAGAAATAATATATATGCAAAATATTGTAGATTTTTAAAATTGTAGAAAGTTTAATCTATACAAAATGCAATACTTTGAAATCAGGAGGTATAAAGACTACGTACTTCATAAGATTTGGTATTATTTTTAGAAGTATATTTATATTCGGATGTTCCAATGACTTCTCCCCAAATATGTATGTAAATATTATATGTAAGTACGAGCAATCTTTTGGATCCACCGAATCGATCATCGATTTTCTTCCTGTGCGTGATCATTACTCATTTGTGTGTGTATGTCTGGCTGTTTGTCTTCGCAGTGCAGACAATTTCATGATTTTTGCAGCTGTCCCGAAACGAGGATCACTGGGCTACGCAGGAATTACGACAGCGACGGAAGGTAGTGATCAGAGATCTTCGAGGAGCAGGTAAGAACCACCGAGCGGCATTATGTCGCAGGTAGATTTCTATGTCAGCTGCACTATTCCACCCCTAAGCACCATAGGGATATAGTGCATCGGTGCAGGGCTGTACATGCGATGCAGTTGCAGCTGGCGCAAGGTGATTTCCCACTGAAGACATCCGTCTGAGGATACACAGGCACACAAATGCGGTCAAAATAATAGGAACGGAAAAGAGAAACTAGGAAACCGTTTCGGATATAAATATAAGATAAGATAAATTTTAGTTTTGAAAATGAAAAGTTTATTTGAATACATTTTTTTTGAAAATTTAGTCGAACAATTAAATATTTTCTTGTTATATTTATGATTTTGTAAAATATATTTCTTATTCCTATGATTTTTACCGCAGCTGTACACACAGCAGCGTATTTTGGGCATTGGTTTTTATCAATGCGTTTTCACCGCTCTCTTCGATTGAATTCTTTATAATGTAACGCTCTTTTTTGAAACGCAACGTCCGTTTCATTTTCTTCTTCTTCCCACGAAGTAGCCGATAAATACGAATGAGAAAATCGCGAACTGAACAAATAACAACAACAAAACGACGTCTCACTCTTCCTCTTCCATCGCGCCGTCCCTTCCCACATTTTTGCATCTGTTTCTCAAAAAGAAGATTTAAACGAGAAAATATACTGGTACCGTGACACAAATCGAACCAAAAAGGGGTTAAATTATAAGGGTGACGATATCACGTTGTAATTAAAAAATATATTGTTTATTACAGAAATAGCATCGTATATGGATGACATACTTATTCGCCAGCATTTATTGTTTCGCTCTGGTCACTGCACTTATTTATACGATTAAATATATGTACGGGAAATATATTCTATAGAAATAATCACGTACAATGTACATAGGTATGTACGCGAATGCAAGTAACTTTTTTTCAGTAAATCACATTCGCGTTTCATCATGGTCCGCAATGATGATTATTTTGAATACTATGTCCCTGCGGAAAAATTACATTTCAAAGAAATCTGAAATAAAGGCTCAAAGGTTACGTCACCATGAACTAATTAAGATGATGTGAGAAACATATATTACAAAATATTAAAAATAACTTTAAGTTTATTGTTGATCCAAAGGATAAGTATAATTATTGTATTACTCTTACCATTTGCCAGTAATGAAAAATATATGTATTAATTTCATGATATTGGAATATAAAATACCACAATATTAAATTAACTGGTGAAATAATTTGACCTTCAACGTCTCTTTGTCCCACTGTGCTCCAAGCCCCACTAAGAATACGTTACATTTTAAATTCAAATTCAAAAACACAGATACGTTGCGTCCAAAACTGAGACAGTTTAGTTACCTTTTTGAAAGCGGTTACTTTTGTACGAGACTCGTGGATTTCGCTTCGCTAAAATTTCAGCATGCTTTCTGCTTTTGTGCGAATGAGCGAGTTTTTTGTTGTTGCCAAGCTGGCCTGAAATCTGGATTTCTCTCCCCAATGAAAAAAACAACTTAATGCGTCACCGGCTGCGTCATCAATTCGGGATGACGACGCCTCGCCATTCCAATACCGAATTCCCCTTCCTGATTCTCCAGTTGAAGCCCCGTCACTACGACATTCCCCAAACAACCAAACAAACTTGTATCACCATCTAGAAGAAGTTTTATTTTATACACTCATTTCGAAGTTTCAGATTCGCACGAAATTATACAAGGTGAAGTTCTCGAGGTGAGTGGTGTTGGATGGGAAATGCATGATGCATGGCGATGATATGGCATTTGTAAAAAAAGTAGATTAAACTTTTGCACGTGATAAGCACGTCAATTATACCTGCAGTGGAACTCTTACAAATGATAATGTAATTTACATTTTGGAAAAAGATGCAGTCAAAATAATCCCAAATGTAATATTTTTGTTGTGATTTTTATTAAAATCTCAGTCTTTCTTGTTTATTAAATTTTAAGAAATGAAAAGAAAGATTTTTTATTATTTTTTTTTATTAGCCTGAAGATACACAAATGGAACCTAAGGAAGTTCAATGGTTTCTGGAGCTAATCAAATTTAGTGGATCGTTGTAAAAAAAACTTACGAACGGTAAATCGAATCAGGCATCACAGAAGATACACTCTCACTCTTTCGAGCGTGCAGTATAGGTAGATGGGTATACAACACAACAGGTTGTCGGCGGTGTTTGGAGAAAGTGCTTATTGCCAACAATAATATCAGGTGCAATGACCACATAGCTAGGCGGTGGTTGGTTCAAAAAAAGTGTATAAATTGTCATGGAAACGCGAAGCTCTGTGGACGGCAAAACATGCAAGGGAACTTGATCTGATTAAATCCCACTATAGGTATACTAGGGGAATTTTCCGACGAAAAGATTTACTACGAACGTACTAAAAAAATACCTAAAGCTGGTCGAACATTAGACAAGCTGTTTACCGTTAATGGAAATCATTAAAACTTTCTTTTCACTATGAAGAGAAACATAACCATGCAATGAATAATGCCATTGAACTTTATTTGTATTAGATATACATATATTGCATATATAAAAATTATTATGATCCCTTCGATACTTTTAATTTTTAAATCCAGTATATTTGTTTACTGAATTCCAGCTATAAATGAGATAAAAGGTTGTATTCCCAGGTACATTTTTTAACAAATTTTCAGATTTTTAGAATGTTTAGACCTTGGAATACATACATCAACATTTTTTGTACTTCCAGTTTGAAGGACACAAACATGGGTTCAAGTACAGCAAACACTTTCTCGGTCACACACAATCTGTATCTACGCGTAGGTGGTGAAAATTGCTGCCCTTTTTTCGAGTCTCAATTCTTCCCAGATGCATTTCCCAGATGCCTGCATGCTGAGGATTAGGCATTGTCCAAAATATTTGTATGGAAGAGATACCCCGCCGAAGTAGAATTGATGTTTTCTCGCACATATGCTTGGAAATATTATTACCAGTCACGGCGTGGGAACCGAAGCAAAGATGTCCCAGGACCCATGAAGGATATTGCCATTTCTGGACGTAAAGGTTAGTTATTTGCGACACATTTAAAATACGGGTAGCACCGGCATTTCCCAGGTGAAAATTCGAAAGAGTCCTTTCACATCGAAAATAGTGGTCACCCTGCTTTTCATATCACAGATCTGGTCAAAAAATTAGTTTGTCATGGAAAATGAATTTTTCAAGAAAAAATTAACCCCTTATTCTCATCTCGGACACAAAAGAAAGTGCGGTACAGACTGCTGTACACCATTAACCCTGTCAACCCCTAAATGACAATTGTTTGAGCTATCAAAAGGATATTTTTCAATAAAATATTATCCAAAATAGTTTCATTGAGAATACCCTTTCTTGAGATATGGTTTGTTATGCATATGTGCTTTTCCAGGCGTTACAGTTAGCTATTGTAAAGGTAAAACAATTTCACAGTTTTTCCTCACAAAAGAGAGGCCGACCCGATTTATGAATGGAAAATATTCTTAATCTTATCTTCACGGGGTGGATTTCGACCGGATTTTTGTCAAGTTTTCTCATTTTTTCACGATAGATTCGAACGAACTTTGGCCCTTTACTCCCAATTTTGTAATTGCGCCGTTTATTTGGCCATTGTATTTTCTCGCGACCCTGTTTCACCCGGGATGAGCCCTATCTTTTGTTCTTTTGTGACACTAAACTAGCTGGAAAACCTCTTTTCTTATATTGTCATCATTGTTACACTTTTTATAATGAAAAAAACTTGAAGATTTCCCTGGAAATATATGCGCAATAAACGATGATATAATCATGCAATCAAAGATCTGATAAGGATTGTTTACTTATTTAATATTTTTGTTGGATTTTATTAAATTTGCCCAAAAGTGGGCTACGACTCTTTTGAGATTCGCGCTTTTGTTGTTGTAATCCCGCGGCAGTTAATCCAAAAACAAGTTTTCAGTAGGAAAATTTCGACTCTTTCTGGTCTGGACTGATCGCAGCATCCCTTAATGAAATTCTACGCTTCTACGCACTAAATACAGCCTGCAGTCGAAAAGGACTCAGAAATGATCCTGTGCACCACCTGCTTCCTGTGGCCGATGTTGAGATTCCGAGATATCCCTGCAGCTGAACATATGGGCCCACGCTTCTTATTAGGGTAGGTTCTCTGCCTGTTGGAATTTTGGATTGAAGGATGTCTTCGAAGGTCCTTAAAAACAGAATCAACTGTACAGAGCCATAAAAATCTTAAAAAAAAAGGGGTAACTTCTTTTCACTGAGATCTTTGGTAAAACTAAATTGATTTCAAAGGTGATCATATTATTATGTATATATTAAATCTATGATTAAAATCCTTTCTTTTCAACTTAAAGTAAAACCAACGTCTTCTTTGTATACATGAATTAATATATTTGCAAATATATAATATTGTATATGCTTATTTACACAGTTATAAATATATATAGTTTATTTAAAGACATGTATGTATGTACTATTGTTCAACAAATGCCGTGTGTGCATAACGTTTAATAAATTTATTTGTACGTTTGCAGAGTAAATATGTTTGTCTTACACCATTTCTGCAATATTGTTTGGGATAATACACTATAGACAGCTAAGTGGTAAAGGTACGTTGCTATAATAGATACCAAAACATTCGTTATATGTCTTGTTCAACGTTGGGTTTCTTTGGAATGCGAAGAATTCGAATGGGTTATTTATAGAGATTTTATTAAGTACACCTGTAACAGGACCTCGAACTGTATCAGCTTCACAACGATTCAAAATAATAAGCGAAACCTTTGTGCTAACCGAGGATCAATGCGTGGAAAATATTATAACATATTTCATAATAGTACTATGTTGAAATTAGGCAGTAAATGCTTTAAACAGCAAATAAATATATAGATGGAAATGAAAATAAACATTCGTAGCTATTCACATTTAAGATTTTAAAAATAATTAACCAATACCGCAACTGAAATATCTCTCTGTGTTTCCAACCGATATTTGTTTCGATTTTAGTCCCTGATCTGTTGTCATGTTTTGGATACGATTTGGAAGAATTGACTTAGGAATATCCAGAGGTTTCGTTTTCACTCTCCTCCACAATGGATTTCTTGTCCTCCGCCTTGGTGCGACCCGTAAATCTCTCAAAGATGGTGTGCTTGCTGCTCTTTTTACCCCCTGAAGATCCCTTGAACGATCCCCACGGAACCTTACCAGCTTCGGAAGTGGTCATCAGGATGGAGTAGGAGGAGCAGACCTCACCCTCTTTGCTGTTGCGAATTCCGTATAGGAAGTACACCACCATGCCGATGCAAACCCATACGAAAAAGCGTACCCAAGTCACGGCATCCAAATGGACCATCAGCAGAATGTTACAAAAGATTCCAAGAGCCGGAACGAATGGAACCAGGGGAACTTTGAAAATCAGGCCACGGGTATTTTGGTTATGGACAGCTATAACGGCCACACAAGTGCTGGCGGCGAAAATGATGAATCCATATATGATCAGGGCCCACCAGGTGCCCGTGTAAAGTTGCGTCCACGACACCTTCAGCTCCACACAGATGGCGAAGCTCAAAAAGATGAACATCATCACGGCTACGGAGACCACGGATCCGGGCTCAAAGCGTCCCAGCAGAGGTTCCAAACACCTGAACTGGGCCTTAAGTCTGCCCGCCAACACTTCCTCGATCATCTCACTAGTGGGCGAAGAAGTATCCATGCTGGACTGCGAGGCCACATCCTCATCGTCATCATCGTCGTCATCAGGACTTCCGGCCACCGCTGGCACTCTAATGGTCGTATGAATTCGCTCCATTGGTCGATAGCGAAGGATGATCACACTGGCCGAAACGATGGTGTAGGCCAGCAGGGTTCCAATGGACATAAACTCCACCAGCTTGGCCAGATCGAAGACCAGGGCGAGACAAGCACTCAACACCCCGGATACGGCCAGGTTGAGTAGAGGGACCTGGGTGGTGGGGTTGATCTTGCCGAAGCAACTGAACAGCAACCCATCCGAGGCCATGGCGTACATGCAGCGGGGCAGCGCGAACAGGGATCCCAGCAGGGTGGTCGTCATCCCGCACAGAGCTCCTATGGAGATCAGGTATTTTGCCCAGGATAGATTCAGTTGCCCAAAGGCCTCGGGCAGCGAGGCAGCCGGATTGATCTCACTGATGGGAATCATGAGGGTCAGGGCCGCACTCACCAGGATGTAACCCACTGTCACCACAAACAGAGAGATCACCGTGGCAACTGGAATGGAAACCGATGGGTTCTTGGCTTCCTCGCCGGACGTGGCTATCGAGTCGAAGCCCACGAAGGCATAGAAACAGGTGGCCGCTCCCGCGATGACTCCTCCAACGCCGTAGGGCAGAAAGCCACCCTCCGCCTCGGACCAATTTTTGCTATCCGCATACCAAAATCCCACGCTGATGACCAAGATCATGACGGCTATATTGACCAGGGTGAGCAGACTGTTGAACACCGCCGTGGCCTTGACTCCTCCGGCCAGAGCAGCCGCATAAACGATGCAGACGAGGAAGGCCAGGATGTCCGGGTATTGAGCGAGACCCGGTTCATGGATTCCTCCAGTCAGCTCCAGAGTGGTATTACCAATCCAACCGCCCAGCATTGAGTCCACATATCCACTCCATGCCCGAGCCACCGAAGCTGCTCCTAGCATGTGCTCCAGCAGGATGTTCCAACCGATGACGAAGGCCCAGAACTCACCCATCGAGATGTAGGTGTACACATAGGCCGATCCCGCCTTGGGAACTCGAGTTCCGAATTCCGCGTAGCAAAGAGCCGCCAGCATGGATATAAATCCGGCCAAGACAAAGGATAGTATGATACCTGGTCCAGCCATCTCCTTGGCCACAGTTCCAGTCAGCACGTAGATCCCAGCGCCAACCATATGGCCGATGCCTGGGGGTAAATAGTATAGATAAGTGTTATTTACACGGGATGGAGTTCATATTATTGGGTGTCCCAAAGCAATAATTTAGGTGTCCTAAGATGTAGATAAGAAAAATCATGTTCAGTTCCTACGCTTATTATATATGCTGTACTCAAATCTCTGGGGCTCTTAAACTACATCTTGGATGCCTTTGGGAATTGTACTTGTTGTTTTAAAATTAGTTTCTGCCTTTGAATAAAACTACTTTATACATCTTTGCCTTAAAAATAGTTAAGGCGAACTTGTAATAAATAAAAAACGAGTTAAACCCGATACGAATTTTCTTAAGAACATGTTTTGTAAGGGTTGTGTGCTAACAGATGTTTCGCTTAAAATAAAAGATTTCATAAAAGGTTCTTTTGAAACCCCACACATTTTTCCCTAAGTAAGCGAAACACTGTTAAACAAGCCGGTAATCGATTGATTAAATTCAAGTACCCAAAAGAGCGATGTCGAAGGTGTTGAGGCATCGGTTCAGCGGCGTCTCCATGACGTCAGTGGGCACCGACTTGGTGCGATTCATTTTGGTGCATATCCCCGACAATATGTGCCTCAGAATCGCACGTCTTGAGCTCGGCATCCTGATAGATTCGATTGAAACCAACTTCGAAGGAATTTACTCCTCACAGGCCACTTTTGGAGATCAAAACTTTAGGGTTTTGGGATAGAATATTTGAGTAATATTTTGCGGCACTCAGGACCCTTTCACTTGTTGTACACAAACAGCTGTGACTGTATTGATTTTTGCATCCACACTTGACAACACATAACAACACTCCCCGAAAAGTATGCTTTTTTTAACACTACTTTTTAGCGCCACCTGGTGAAAACTTTTAGAATCAATAGCAAATTTTCAGGCAAGTTTTGTATTTGGGGAAAAACAACAATTCAACGTCACGATGAAAATAAACCTATAAAAAAAATAAAAGATAAAAAATATTCATCATAGCTTTTAATTTATTTAAAACAAATATATAACATAAAATAAAATGTAATAATGATGTTATTAATAGTAATTAATAATAAATAAATTAAATATTTCAATAAATAAGGAATAGCAAATTTATAAGTAAACTACAAGCAATAAAGAACAAAAGCTGAACAAGTAATATCTTAGAATGTTATATACATTTTTAGCCGAAGTCCTTAGTTGGTATAGTCATAGTTTTATACTTTAAGAAAGCTTTATATAAAAAAATAAATAAATATACATTTTAAACAATTGCATAAATTTATGAATATAAACCTAATTTGTGTGTTTTTTATCTGCTGCTGCAATTTGCCCCTTGCTGAGAATTTAATACCTTTAAAACCATTAAAACCAAGCTTCAACTGCTTAAAGCCTCAAAGTAGACATTTTAATATTTTTTAACGAAGATAAAATGAAATAGTAATACTATGAAAAAATATTGTAGCATACTTATAAAGACGAATAAACGTTGTTAAACCACTTGCTTGTGTTTGTGTTCCAAAACCGGAAATTAAATGGCCAAAACAATTTTCTTTGAGAATCAATTGAACGACCAATCAATTGATCGGCATTTCTAGATGGAACGTGGTTAACTGATGATTATAATAAACGGTTTGTTAACATGAAGAAACTTGTAAATTTTTTTGGCAAATTCTTCTTAAACCTGGTCTTATGTTCATATATTTAGATTGTATACTGAGATTGGGAATTATGAATTCACTTCATACTAATTATTCATTCATTAATACTAATTATTATGGATTTCGCACTAAAACTTTTTTATTGCATTTCTAGTGCTAAAATTGATATATTGACTGTCTTAAATGTCAAAAACCAGGCACATAAATATGTAATTATTATTTTCTTGTTTGCTAAGCATGGAAATTAATTTTATTCGCTGTAGAGGTGTGTTTGAACCATCAAAACTTGTTGGGGAACGAGTGATTTTTACTTCTGCCTATTTTTATTTTCAACTATGTCCGGTAATAACCAAGTTTCTCAGCACTGGGTCGCGAATTTGTTTTGTCAGACCCGCCGACAGTATGCAAGAATATGTGATCTTCGCTGATCCACGCAATAGATATTTTGTCACACCCTTGATGGTACCAAAATTAAATTTTCTATTATAACCATCATTTGGTATTTTTATGTATGAGCCGACTGCATTTCATTATGCTTTGAAAAGCCTAATCAACCGAAACTGAATGCAATGTATTAAGGCAAGTTTTTAGTAAACATGAAGGAACAATCTAGTAGTAGTAGGTACTTTATAGGTAAGTAGTCGAATTGAAGGTACCCGTTAGAAAATGAAAAGAGCTGCCAGTTTATGTTAGACATTTTGTTTTTGTGAAGTTGTACTATAATTAGACTAATACAATAAGCCTAATAGGTTTTCATTTAAGAACAACTGCTCCGTTTTATATTTTATCATAATTTATTTAAGACCAATTATTAATTATTATTTTCAATCTATTTTATTTTTTGTAACCAACTGTAGCTTTGTACATATTGCCTCGTTGACCTAAGGGCTCTCTCCAATTAACTGATTCTAATCAAGTTTTAAAAAAATTGAAAAGCTTGGAGAATCAGAATACCATTGTACTCTTAGAGTACCGGGTATGATTAAATTGCAGTCTAGGTTACGTGATGTTTGTCAAAGGCAGAAGCGGCTTTGGCACCTCTGCTATCGCGTTCCGATCGTGCATGCATATGGGTTTGGGTTCGGGCTTGGTGTGGATAAGGGAATTACCTTACCATCCATCTCCATCCGTATTCTTCCCATGGCGACAGCTCCGATCGCCGCCTTACCATTACCTTACCATCTCGCCATGACCGTTGCCATTTGGCTAAAATCTATCAGCATCACGAAGCGGACGCTGGGCTTCCAAAAACTTTGAATACTAATACCTGTTAGGGATGACCAGGCGCATCGGAATCGGCATCGACTAGGCTTTGGCTTTGGCTTAGCCTAAGCGTCAACCTGTCCGCTATGCCGGCTATAGTTGCATGACAACATCTCCATCTCCATCCCCATCTCCATCTCCATATGGCCAAAGTCCCCATCCCCACTAGTATAGGTTGTTACAATGACGGATTTTGACTCTTTGGCCCTAAAAGCACACCGGCGAAGGTGCAGTTTTTCAGCTCGGTTTTCAGTTTTCTGTTTTTAGTTTTCAATTTTTTTTCACCTACGAAATGTGCCAGTCGCGCGCTTGGGTCAAGATGGCTAAAACGGCGACTCAGATGGCTAAAACGGCTTAGACGTCTAAGACGGCGTGTGGATGCTGCTCACGCGCCGCTCTGCCCACGAACTGCACATGAATGGAAAAACTAATTGGCTCCAGGCATTGAACTACTGAATGCTCTTTCTCTGAGCAATCAATTATGATGGCTTGATATTAATGATGGTTACATGATGCAACGATAACGCCCATGAAAAACTGGATCGTGATTCCCTTAGATACAGATTCCAGATATTATGTTGGCCTTGAGACCTAATGACCGCATAAAAACTGGAAAAAAGTTTAATGGCTCTAATGGGTAACATTAACATTAGTTTAAAAAGATAGTATTTATTGGTAAAAATAATATATATGTACGACTCGTTAAATTTCAATAAAAATAATCTCCAAAACTTAATTACGCTTCGAAATACATTAAAACTCATATTGTATATGTGTAAGAACCCAGCGATCCTATAACTTGTTTCCTCTGACAAACAAATTGAAATTTATTAAGATTTGATCACTTAACCTTTCACATTTTGAAACTTCACTTGAAAGCTGGTACTGTTTTGACTTTTTTTCTTTGTTTTGAATGCTTAGAAGATAAATCCTAATCTGAATTCCTTTTGTATATGTTCAGTGCTGTTCCCTACCCGTTTAGTGCTGCAAATAAATAAGTAAAACTTGCCAATAAATCGTACTACCCGAGTCCAGTTCAGTGTGCGTGTATAAAACCACGAGCGACGTAAAATAAACAACAAAATATATAAAGCTACTAGCATTGGTGCTTTTTTGTTGCTGTTTTATTTTACTTGCCGCGTCTTTGGATTTTTGAGGCAATATCCGAAACGATTTTTGTTAAATCATACGCCGTGTGTGTATATAAACGAAGACGAGTCTCTTTGGCGTTTAGTGCGGCAACGTCCACTTCGCCAGCTGCATCCCAGCGATTTTTCCCCAAGCCCGAACCCACAAGCCAGTGCCGTAAGTCCAAGTCCAGTGGCCAGGTCCAGTGATATTCTGAAAGATGGCCGATTGATTGGTCAATTTGTACCACTAAGAGCAATCAAGTGATTTTACGTGAGCCGTTCATTAAGGCCAACAAATGTGAATCGATTTAATGTACTGCATGTGAATGGTCACAAAGTGAACTCAGTGATTACTCAAGAACTTGTCTGAAAAGAATTCAAATTTGAAAGGAGTGGAAAATTACATTTTATATCTTGGAACTCAACTTAAAAATAATAAAAAAAATATCATTTTTATGGATTGTCGTAAAAACCATATTTTAAAAAAACTATAAACTCTAGTAAAAATAGGTATGGTGAACTTAAAAATAAAATGTATATAAATTACAAGCCTCAAATTTATATAATTATTTATTTGTTCATGTAAAGACCCACACAGTTTTGACCTTGTATTTACATTTAGCCGGTTGTCAAATATGGTGCTTAAAAAAAGTCGAAAGTGGAATGTCTGTGACGCAGATATTTATATCCTCCAAATCCAAAAAAAGTTACAAGTATGACAGAGTCATATAACTGAAATAAAACAGCCCATCTTTCGGGTTAAACCCGATATAAAACGGATTATAAAATCTCATGGTTTCTAACTGCGTACATTTTTTATACTTGCACAAATGAGCTTCGGAGGAGATCAATTGATTTAAGCGTTTCGGGATTCTTAAATGCCATTCTTTTTGTAAATTAACTTACTCGTATTTAGCATTTCTTTGTAATCAATTAAACGAGAAACAAGTTTCCCAGATCCGGTGTTCGAATGCCATTTGCATTTCGTTGTTTTTATGTCAATATTGCTAACTGTATATTATTTAGCTAAGTACACCGAAATATAATTCGTAAAGTAAGAACGTGACATTTTTATAGCCTATTTTTGAGTTCAACAGCCAAACTGTTTGTGAAATAAACAAAAATATTGTTTGCTCACAGTAATCTATGCAAAGTATCAATAAATACCCAATAAATTCCAGTATGCAACACAAAAATGTAAATTAGATTGCTTATAAGATGACTACTTTGAAAACGAGCGATCAGCTTACCAAATTGGCGCCTTTCCTTAATTGGCCATAAAACAAATCAAGACGTGACCATAACAGATAGCCACAATGCAAGATGGCAGCATTTCACCAATTTGTCGATGCATTTCAGTCCAAATTATGAGAACCTGACATCCAATGTCGGTTAAATCAATCGCTGATTTGGACTATTGTCTATAGTATAATAAACATATATGCATATTGAAGCCCGCGGTCTAATCACCTGTTCGCCATGATTAATACCAAGTTATACGCCTATGCGAGGCGCTGAAATGTCAAAAGTTCAGGGTGAAGCCATCAATGTCCAAGTTGTTTTTATTAACGCTCAAACGTAAGCCAACACAATTGAATATTATTGTTTATGAACTGGGCACACACTCAGGATCCGCAGGCGGAACGCCTATTCTTACCATCTTCACGTTTCGACACCAAAATCGCCCAAATCAATAATGGCTTTTGAAAACTTTAATTGCCCAATTATAATTATTCGGCTTATAGATTTAGTAGAATGATGATGATGTACCTATAAATACACCTCCATATATTATTAAGTTCGTATTCCAATCGAAATAAGCGATTCAGGTGTTTGTCTAGCAAATTAAATAAATGACCTGGCTATTAATCTTGGGTTAGCAAATAACTATATCGTGATAACCTGCGAACATAAAAATATGGTATACTACAAAAAATAAAAAAATTATAAAGTAAATGAGCAATTTTTTGACATGGTGAACCAATTTTTATCAAATTGGGCATGATTATGCAGTCATATAAAAAAACGTGCAAACTGAGATATCAGGCCAATGTGAGCCAGCAAAAACCCGAAAAAATTAGGTCGCCAAAGATTAAGCCAACGGAAAGCAGGGAGCAAAAGAGATACCATATTAATCGTGTTGAATATGAATCGGATGTATGAATGGGCGGTGTTTCATCATAATCAACTGGACCTCTTGCCAAATTTGAGGTGTTTTTTTTACAAGCGAAACGCTGTTGTACATTTTATTTCAGGGAACTGATTAAAATTATAGAAAAGAAAGGGAAAATGTGATGATCTCCATAAAGAAGAATCAATAATGGGGGATCTTAATTAATTCAAGAGGCAGAACATGGATTTACCTTATAGCCCACAGCATTGAAGTGACGCAAGAACAAACAGAAGACTTCACACGCCAACTTATCCGTAATCAAATGGTACTTTTTACGTCTCGTTAGCCTAATGCTTGGAATAACCTAGACAAAAGGGGCCACAATGAAAAAGCACCTAATCATCCGGGGCTAACATCTCAACATCAATAGCAATAGCAACAGACATTCGGTAAAAACAAGAGAGCCATCAAATTGCAGAAGCCAATGCCACACAAAAGGCCCCAAATCGAAGCGCCTTTATCAACGGGGGCTAGGCAAATAGCCAAATGGGCACTCGTCACTATTTGTTTCTCTACTCCCTTCGTGCTTCGTGTGTGAGTGTTGAATTTATGGATTTTGAAATCAGCAGCATTTTTTCTTTTTCTTTTAAAGGTTAGTTGTATTATTTAAAAACCAAACCCGTTTTAGTGGCGGTGCAGCACCCTCCATTCGTCGGGCAAAAGAGGTCCGGCTGTGTAAATACTCGACAGGTTGCACTCAACCGTAATTAGCGATAAAGAAGATCTTACCTCATCTTACCTCAACGCTAGAGATCGGTTGACAAATTCATATCTTGATTTTCGGCGAATTTAACTTTCGTCACCTTTACGCTTTGATATATGGTTTTTTAGATCTCACCGAAATAGCCCTTCTTCGCTGATCTTCATCATGAGTCACCCAAAAGGAAGGTCGATCTGGGGATTAAATTACTGCAAAAGTACCGAAATGCCCATAAATTAAAAAACAAATCAACAGTTAAATTTTTAAAATCGTAAACAGAAATATTATTGTGTTGTTTACTGTTTTACAGAATAAAGTTAAAATTAATGGGATACTAAGATAAGAACTGGTGTTGGGAAAAAGGAAACTTCATTAATGAAATAACATAAATTGTTTCTGGTTAATTTTAAACATTGTAAAATGTGTCAGCCTTTAAAATCTAATAGACCCTACTTTCAGTAAAATAGAATTAACCTGTATACATAAATACATTTTTTGGTTAACCACCAAATAAGCCATAAATTAAGCTGTCCAATTTACGAAATCGTAAACAGCTTTCAGTATACGCCATAAATAAGTTTTATAACTTTTCATTAACTCTATTTCAGAATAAAGCTTAAGACTTAAATTAAAGATGGTCAACATCGGCCACCTTTTCGTGTGGGCCTTGCTCTTGGTACGTACACTGTGATACCCCTTCTAGAAATGACAAAATATATGATTATGGTTTTTCGTATAATGTCAAGGTCACTACATCGGCCACTGATCTGAGCGATGATGAGGCGCTCAATGATGTTTTAAGCGAACTCGACTTTGACGACTCTTCTCCGAGATTAACTCGCGACACATCTCTGTCAGCTAAACACATCGAGAAGATCGATGTGAAATGCGACCAAGGTAATGGTATGATGGTGGAGGTGGAGTTCTCCGAGGACTTCGAGGGAGTCATCTACAGTCAGGGATATTACAACGACCCCAAGTGCAAGTATGTATTTATTTCTATGATACCTTTGAACCTTTTCCCTAATTGCTGTCTTTAACTAGCTACGTAAAGGGTGACAGAGCAGGTAGAAGTTTCATATTCACAGTGCCATACGATGGATGCGGCAGCAAACCCTCGTGCTCCGTATGCGCCTCAATCGAGAACATCCTGATTATCCAGGATGACAGGGATATTCAAAACAGCTTCGATATTGCACGAAAAATCTCGTGCAGCCGGGGCGATGAACGTGAGAAGACTGTGTACTTCAAGCCATTTGTGGTGGACATGCTCGAGGTTATTTCGGTGGACACACCAAGTGGTCCTGTGGAGTGCTGGATGGAGATCGGTACTGGTACTCCGCCGAATATCAGACCCATTCAGGGCACTCTAACCCTCGGAACTGACATAACGTTCACCATAAACGTAAAGCACGCGGAACAGGCATGGGATATTAATATACTGCAATGTTATGCCTCAGATGACATGGACTTTGAGGCCAGAACCACTAAGAGATTGCAACTCTCGGACAAAAGGGGGTGTTCGATAAAGGAGAAAATATTTGGGGAGTGGCGAAAGTTTGCAGCGCCCTCTAGTCTGACGTCCACTTACTATAACACACTAAAGGCCTTCAGATTCCCCGACCGATCCCAGGTGTATCTGAAATGTGATATTGAACTCTGCAATGGAGCATGCAAAAGGGACTACACTTGCGGTGTTGAGAGGTCAGGACCATGCCCAGAGGGATCAACTGACCCCCAGTGTCTGCAGGATCATCTGATTTCACCCAAGCCTCGCTGCTATCCGGGCTCCAGAGAACCAGGCTGCCCAACGCCAACCGCCCTGCCACCGACAACAATCAGGATTCCAATAGCCTCAACATTCACACCAAGGCCACGTTGCTACCCTGGATCCAACGATCCAAGTTGTCCGCAAACCACACAGACAACATCCCAGCCAAGTTGTCCTTTGGGCTCGACGGATCCCCGTTGTCGTGGGCCACCGGCAACCATAAAGCCAAGGTGCTATCCAGGATCAAATGATCCGGCATGTCAACCAGCTACCTATCTACCGCCAACAACAAGAAGGACTCCAGCCAAACCACGTTGTTATCCTGGTTCGACTGATCCGGACTGTCAACCGGCAACTAGAGCACCTGCTACCACATTGAAGCCCAGATGTTATCCAGGATCTGATGATCCTGAATGTCTGCCGGCAACTTATCTCCCGCCAACAACAAGGAGACCTCCGCCTCCTACGACAAGCCCACGTTGCTATCCAGGCTCAACCGATTTAGACTGCCAACCCAGAACCAGACCGACCGTCACTACATCGCTGCCAAGATGTTATCCTGGTTCAACCGATCCAGACTGCCAGTCCAAAACCAGACCGACCGTTACTACATCGCTGCCAAGATGTTATCCTGGATCAACCGATCCAGAGTGCCGAACCAAAACCAGACCAACGGTTACTACATCCCTGCCAAGATGTTATCCTGGATCAACCGATCCAGACTGCCAACCAAAAACCAGACCGACGGTTACTACATCCCTGCCAAGATGTTATCCTGGATCAACCGATCCAGACTGCCAACCCAAGACGAGACCGACCGTTACTACATCAGTGCCACGTTGTTATCCTGGATCAACCGATCCAGAATGTCTACCGGCTACCTACCTTCCTCCGACCACAAGGAGAACTCCAGTTCCAACCACCAGAGCCCCAATAACCACATCCAGACCTAATTGCTATCCAGGCTCAACGGATAGCCGCTGCCCACAGAAACCCCAAACCACTCCAAGACCAAGATGCTATCCTGGATCACCAGATCCAACCTGTCAACCTGCCACGCGTGTAACTCAGAAGCCACCAACAACTCAACAGCCGAAGTGCTATCCCGGCTCATCAGATCCGGAGTGTCTGAACTGTTTCCCCGGCTCGCCAGATCCAAGATGTCCCAAGGTTCCAACAACCAAGAAAGCAGGATGCATCGATGGTTCGGATGATCCGAGATGTCAGCCGGCAACCTATTTACCTCCTTCATCTCGTCGTCCCCCCACAATTGCTCCGAAGCCCAGATGCTATCCAGGATCAACAGACCCCAGTTGCCCGCAGCCAACTACAATAAGGACACCCGTAACCACTTCCAAGCCTAGGTGTTATATAGGTTCAACAGATCCCAGTTGTCCACAGCCTACTCAACCAACCACAATAAGGATACCAGTAACTACTGCCAAGCCTAGGTGTTACCCGGGATCTAGTGATCCAGAATGTCAGCCAGCAACATACTCTCCTCCGACGACTAGGAGGCCTGTAACCACATCCAAGCCAAATTGTTATCCTGGCTCAACAGACAGGCGCTGCCCACAGGAACCAGTGACGACACCAAAGCCTAGATGTTACCCTGGATCACCCAATCCCGAATGTCAGCCCGCTACTTATCTGCCTCCAACGGAACGAACGACTTCCAAGCCTAGGTGCTATCCAGGATCAAATGATCCTGATTGTCAACCAGCTACGTTCACGCCTCCGACAACTCGAAGGCCGATAACTACGTCTAAGCCCAACTGTTATCCAGGCTCCACGGATAGTCGCTGTCCACAGAAACCACCAACGACTCCGAAACCAAGATGTTATCCGGGATCAACAGATCCTATTTGTCAACCAGCTACCTACCTTCCTCCGTCGACAGCGAGAACAACAGTTCCTACAGCCAAGCCAAGGTGCTATCCAGGTTCAAGTGACCCCTCTTGCCAGCCCCCAACGACAAGGACGCCAATCACTACATCAAGACCAAATTGCTATCCAGGCTCCACCGATAGTCGTTGTCCTCAGAAACCACCTACAACACCGCAGACAAAGTGCTACCCTGGGTCAACCGATCTGGAGTGTCTTAACTGTTATCCTGGTTCTCCGGATCCAAGATGTCCGAAAGTTCCAACCACCAAGAAAGCGGGATGCTTTGATGGTTCAGATGATCCTAAGTGCCAGCCTGCTACTTACTTGCCGCCGACCACTAATCAAACTCCCACAATTGCACCCAAGCCAAGGTGCTTCCCGGGCTCAACGGATCCACGATGCCCGCAAGTAACGCAGCCAACAACAAGAAGACCAATTTCGACAGTGAAACCACGTTGTTATCCAGGATCTAACGATCCATCATGCCAGCCAGCTACATATTCGCCTCCTACCACAAGAACTCCTGTGATAACATCCAAGCCAAGATGTTATCCAGGCTCTCAGGAACCCGAATGCCAACCTGCAACAAGGCCACCAATTACCACATCCAAGCCAAGATGCTTCCCAGGATCATCAGATCCCGATTGTCAGCCAGCCACCTACCTGCCACCAACATCTGTTAGAACCACAATTCCAACAGTTCCGACGACCAGAAGACCTGTAACTACGTCCAAGCCAAATTGTTATCCCGGCTCAACAGACAGACGCTGTCCAAAGGAACCACTGCCAACACCCAAACCTAGATGTTACCCTGGATCACCAAATCCCGAGTGTCAACCTGCCACTTATCTTCCTCCCACAACACGAGTCCCCATTACTACGGCTAAGCCGAGATGTTACCCGGGCTCAAACGATCCTGATTGTTTGCCTCCGACAACCAGAGTACCTGTGACTACGCCAAAGCCTAATTGTTATCCAGGCTCTACCGATAGACGCTGTCCTCAGAAACCACCTACTACTTCGCAGCCAAAGTGTTATCCCGGCTCATCAGATCCGGAGTGTCGTAATTGTTTCCCGGGCTCGCCAGATCCAAGATGTCCCAAGGTTCCAACCACCAAGAAACCAGGATGTTTCGATGGTTCAGATGATCCAAGATGTCAGCCGGCCACCTACCTACCTCCTTCTTCTCGTCGGCCGCCCACAATCGCTCCTAAGCCCAGATGTTATCCAGGATCAACAGATCCCAGTTGTCCGCAACCAACTACTGTTCGACCACCTATAACTACGTCTAGGCCTAGGTGTTATCCTGGATCTAGTGATCCAGAATGTCAGCCAGCAACATACTCTCCTTCGACGACTAGGAGGCCTGTAACCACATCCAAGCCCAATTGTTATCCTGGCTCAACAGATAGGCGGTGCCCACAGGAACCAGTGACGACACAAAAGCCCAGATGTTTCCCTGGCTCACCCAACCCTGAATGTCAGCCTGCCACTTACCTCCCACCGACAACAGTTAGAACGACGGTTCCTACAGCTAGGCCCAGGTGCTACCCAGGCTCCAACGATCCCGACTGCCAGCCAGCTCCAACAACAAGAACGCCCATAACTACATCGAAGCCAGTTTGTTATCTAGGATCAACGGACAGTCGTTGCCCCCAGAAACCGCCTACGACCCAAAAACCAAGATGCTATCCCGGGTCTACAGATCCTGAATGCCAGCCTGCCACCTATCTACCTCCAACAACTTCAAGGCCAACTATCCCTTCAACCAAGCCAAGATGTTATCCTGGATCAACCGATCCCTATTGCCAACCGAAAACGTATTCCCCACCGACATCAAGGCCAGTGATAACTACATCGAAGCCCAGATGTTATCCAGGCTCTTCAGATCCCGATTGTCAGCCAGCTACTTATCTTCCACCTACAACCCGACAAACAACGATTCCAACTTCGAAGCCAAGGTGCTATCCGGGATCCAGAGACCCAGAATGTCAGCCAGCTACTTACTCACCTCCGACAACAAGAACACCTGTGACTACATCAAAGCCTAATTGTTATCCAGGCTCTACCGATAGTCGCTGTCCCCAGAAACCTACTACTCCGCAGCCAAGATGTATTCCCGGCTCATCAGATCCAGAGTGTCTGAATTGTTTCCCCGGCTCGCCAGATCCAAGATGTCCCAAGGTTCCAACCACCAAGAAGCCAGGCTGCTATGATGGCTCTGATGATCCGAGATGTCAGCCGGCCACCTACCTACCTCCTTCATCTCGTCAACCCCCCACAATCGCTCCTAAGCCCAGATGTTATCCGGGATCAACAGATCCAAGTTGTCCGCAACCAACCACAATTCGGACTCCCGTAACTACGTCTAGGCCTAGATGCTATCCGGGATCTAGTGACCCCGAATGTCAAACAGCAACTTATACGCCACCGACTTCAAGATCACAAATCACTACTTTGAAGCCTAGGTGTTATCCTGGGTCAAAGGATCCAGAATGTCTGCCAGCAACTTACGCGCCTCCTACTACAAGGATTCCTGTGACAACTTCTAAGCCAAATTGTTATCCTGGCTCGACAGATAGGCGCTGCCCACAGGAACCAGTTACGACTCCTAGATCCAGATGTTACCCTGGCTCACCGGACTCCGATTGTCAGCCCGCTACTTATCTGCCACCTACAACCGCACGCACAACGATTCCTACTACCAGACCAAGGTGTTATCCAGGTTCCAGTGACCCTACTTGTCAGCCAGCTACATACTCGCCCCCAACCACTCGAACGCCTATAACTACGTCGAAGCCTAATTGTTATCCTGGATCAACAGATAGTCGGTGTCCACAAACGAATCCCAAGCCAAGATGTTTCCCGGGATCTACAGATCCGAATTGTCAGCCTGCAACATATCTTCCACCAACCACCGCAAGGCCAACTATCCCCACAACCAAGGCAAGGTGTTATCCTGGATCTAGCGATCCATATTGCCAGCCACCAACTTCATTGCCCACGACCATCAGAACTCCAGTTACCACATCCAAGCCAAATTGTTATCCAGGCTCCACCGATAGTCGTTGTCCCCAAAAAACTCCAACTACTCAGGAGCCAAGGTGCTATCCGGGCTCATCAGATCCTGAGTGCCTGAATTGTTATCCTGGCTCCCCTGATCCCAGATGTCCAAAGGTGCCGACGACAAGGAAGGCTGGATGTTATGAAGGCTCAGATGATCCAAGATGTCAGCCTGCCACTTACTTGCCGCCATCAACTTATCGTCCACCCACAAGTGCCCCAAAGCCAAATTGCTATCCAGGATCAACAGATCCAAGGTGTCCGCAAGCAACGCAGCGGACAACCATAAGAACTCCAATTACCACACCGAGATGTTACCCGGGATCTCCTGATCCTGACTGCCAACCTTCAACCAGAGCCCCTGTAACCACAATAAGGCCAAGATGTTATCCTGGCTCTAATGATCCATCATGTCAGCCAGCTACATATTCGCCTTCTACTACAAGAACTCCTGTGACAACTTCCAAGCCAAACTGTTATCCAGGATCGACAGATAGGCGCTGCCCACAGGAACCAGTGACGACTCAAAAACCAAGATGTTACCCAGGCTCACCTAATCCTGAATGCCAGCCTGCCACTTACCTCCCACCTGCAACTGTACGCACTACGATTCCTACGACTAGGCCAAGGTGTTATCCGGGCTCTAACGATCCCGATTGCCAACCTGCGACATACTCGCCTCCAACAACAAGAACTCCTATCACCACACCCAAGCCACGTTGCTATCCAGGCTCAAATGATCCTTCTTGCCAGCCCTCTACTTATCTTCCGCCAACAACGGCCAGCAGGTGTTACCCGGGCTCCAGCGATCCTGAGTGTCAGCCTGCTACATATGCTCCTCCCACGACAAGAGCTCCCATAACTACATCCAAGCCCAATTGTTATCCAGGCTCTACGGATAGTCGTTGTCCCCAGACGACACCTAGACCGAGTTGCTATCCCGGCTCATCGGATCCCGAGTGTCTGCTGGTGACAACTGTCAGAACGCCGATTGCTGGAACCACACCAGTTTACTGCTATCCTGGATCCATCGATCCTCGCTGCCCTGATTCCGGATACAGAGGCACAAGCCGCATTCCTGCCACATATCTGCCGCCCCTGAGTGATCCGGGCTACGATAGGACCATTCGAAACGCAAAGAGCCTGTTCTTCAGTGAAATCAATCACTTGGCACTCACCGATAACAATGTCTTCGAGCTGGACGACGACGAAAGCGAGCCCTCGAGAGTGAAGCGCGAGTTGAAGTTCGACGAGGAGGACCTCTTGTCGAAGAGAATCATGAAGCGCGAGTTTAACGAGCGACCTTCAGAGCAAGAAGTGATTTCCCTGACCCTCGGAGTAAGAACTGGCATCAGTGTAAAATAGTCGTTGAAGGTCTAGTAGATGTTAAGCATAACAATATTATATCATCATACACCGATATGTATTTACCTAGAATGATATTCATTAAATATAAACTATGTACAAATGTAAACTATGGATAGTCTTTTGAATGGGGTCCCTACCCATTTCCAGATATTTCAGTTTACACCAAGTCGATTGTACTTTAATAATTTAATTAAATATTTTAGTAATTATTTTAGAACAAACGCTTGAGCCAATTAAAGTAGGTGATCTTAAGACTCGGGATAGCGGCAATAGGAATTGCTTTCGATGGACTCGTGCGGAATCCACTCCTCGTATAGGGGCAATCGGTTCTTCAGAGTCTCGATCTCCCGCAGAATCCTCATCACATTGCCGCCAACCAGCTTCTTAATGGCTGCATTGCCCCACACCCTATCCCTAGCCAATTCGGCCAGTAGAAGGGCATAGCTTTTCGGAGCTCCCCCTAGTCCAATGTGATCCACGCCGGCCACTTTGCGAACATAGTTTATGGCAGTGATGGCCTCTCGAACACCCAGTGTCCGATCCCCACAGCGCTCCAGGTTGAGTAATATTACCCCACCATTTTCCGGCAAAAGGCTGTAAAATTGATCCTTTGGTATGAAGTCCTAAAAAGGTATTTTGTTGATAATTACTCACCTGAGAACATGATCGGGAATGGAAGCTGTGCTGCTACTATTGCACATGGATAATGGTGTCGCGTTTGTGAGTAAAACGGGCGCCTTGGCGGTTTTTAAGACGGCCAGCATAGCAGCCTCGCTAAGCATCGAAATCTCCACCAGCATTCCCAGGCGATTCATCTCGAAGAGCATTGTCTGAAAAACATTTCGATTAACAAACATTTCACTTTAAAAAGGTGATCTATTTAAATCAGCTTTCTATTGCAGCAATCTTTGCCGCACAGTAGGCAACAGAGATCTACCCACCTGTCCGAATTCGTTGAAGGAATTCGTAACGTTCTCCTCGACGAGATATTCCGGCCTTCGTATAGCGGCTGCAGCCCAAGGAGTGGTGCACTCCTGGCTTGTAATGGACACAAATCGAGCTCCCAACAGGTAGATGGAGCGCAAGACGGCCGTGCTGGTGCCCAGGGCATGGCCACCACTTATACCCATGAGAACGGCCACCTCACCACGGATGTGAGTCTGTTCCATCTCATCCGCTGACTCCACAATGTGCATGGAATCCGCGGAAGCAGTTATACGCCTGGCCTTGTCGATCCCCTCCAGAGTGAGCTGCACTGCATCCAGGTACTGAGCTCCACATGGCACAGCAATGGGCCAGAGGACAGCGCCAATGTGATTCTGTCGCACCTCGAAGAGATTGCTGCTGTTCAGGTTCATGGTGCTCGGCGGCTTCCACGAACCCTCTATCAGAGGCGATTCAGTCAGCAGGCGGCGGATGAAGGCCAGTCGAGCCTCCAGGAGCGATGAGGAGCGTAGTTGAAGAGCCAGCGGAATGCCTCCGGCCATGGCGATGCACACAAGCACCAGACCTACGCCCAGCAGAATCTTACGACCTCGCGATCGTTCCGGTCGTTCGCCTGACGATTCGCTGCACGAGTCCTTTTTGGAACTGTAGGTGGGGATTCCCCCGTTGGAGCACCTTATCTTCTCATTCCCACCTCCAAACTTGGTTATCTCCGCGGGCAGTTCGATGTCCGCTATCTCCGTGAACACAAAGCATTGCTGCTTGCAGTGCGGCTGATGTTGGTGCAGAGGATGGACCTCCAGAAATTCGCGACTCGGTACGGGATTCATTTCATCGCTTGGAGTACGACGTGATTTTCCAGTTATTTTCCCAGTGGAGGCTTCCTGTTGTCGATTTCGATTTAATTCAACAAGCTTGCACCGCGACGAAAGCTCGAAACTGGGATACTATCGATTTTTAACACATCCCTGCCCGTCCCGTCACCTGGTCACAATGTTCATTCAAGGACATGCGCGCTAAACCATAATTTGTATAAGTATGGCAGCATCCCAAACCGAGCGGGATCATAATTATTTTAAATTTATAATTATAATTTATAATTCTCTGAATAGATTTAAGCTTAGCTTAAGCTCGGCTTAACAAAGATTTTAGGCGTTTGCTGAAACTGTAGCCCGTATTAACAATGTAAATCTTTTTATAAACTAATTTCTAGTTTAATGGTAAAGGAAATATTTTAGAAATTTAGAATATGAAATTATAACGGTCCCAAATATCTTATAGATGAATTAGAATAAATTTGGATATTGCAAGAAAGAACAACTTACTATTCCAAAAGGCTATATATTTAATTAGATATTCTACTACTTTTTATGGGCTTCTATAACGATTTTCATCAGCTTGTGTGGCGGCAAGGATTCCAGGAGGCACAGCAGCTGAATCTGATTGGTGATGCAGTTTGAGCTCAGGGCGATTTGCACGGCTTGGGCAAATCGCTCCATACACTTCTGATAGGCAGCATCCGTGTCGGGATCCGTTTTAGATTCCCCCAGCCGTGCGCAATAGCTCTGCAGAGACTTCACGATCTGCATAAGATCCTGGCTGGGCAGAGCGGTCGATTCTCCACTGCTGACAAGTTGCTGCAGGGCACGCAGGAGGGAGAGATGCAGATTGCTGTAGGCCTGCCGGTTGGAGACCAGAGGAGCCAGGACCACCCAGCGCAGGAGTCCCGCTAAAGGAGTGGCAAAGGGCATAGCTATAGCGCCGGCGGGCAGGACCAAAGGCTGCTGCGATGCTTGACACAGCGTAGGATTCTCCGTCATCCATTCGGTTATGGTGTCCAGTAGTGCATCTGGCGGGGGATTCAGGGTCTGCGAGCGCTGCTCATTGAGATACAGATCTGCCACGGCGACCATAAAGTTGGCCGCAAAGTGCGGACCCACCATGGGCAGCTGCTTCAGTTGCTCTGGCGTTTTCCGGGAGTACGAGATGAAGTCGCTGACTATATTCTGGGCCACCTCAAGGCTGAGTGGCGTCTTGCAGCCAACCTGTTGCATCCACGTGCCGGCCGAAGAGAGCAGTGGTGCCACGGATCCGGAAACCGCTGTGCTGATCAGCCTGGACAGCAGTTTGGATCGTTGCGGGGTCAGGTGGCTCCCGAATAGCGATAGGAATATGGCGTTGCGGGTGGCATCCCTTCCTGGTCGCGAGAAATACTCAATCAGCGCTATGATCAGCTGGAACTCCTGGAAGAGATTCATCTGGCTAATAGGTAGCGCCTGCGACTTTCGCACATCGCCGTCCTTGCCGGTTCTCTCCAGGAATATGTACTCCGATATGATTTGCATCACCATATTCTGCTTGTTCCGGCTGGCGATCAATGTTTCTGGAATTGTTGGTTTACAAATATATGAAGTGTGGAGGAATTAAACCAAAAATGAAAGCCTTACCAAGTCGAGTAAGTGCCTCCACCGCACATGTGGGATAGTTTTCCAGCTTCATGTCGCCCTTTCTCAGCAAGGACTTATTGCTGTCCACCGACATAGACATCTTAAGATCCAGTACCTTATTTTATAAAACAATCCGTGATCTTTGAAATATGTAAAATGAAAACAAACCATAAAAACGTAGTGGTGGGATATATTTCGATTGGCAGCTCGATAGTTTTTTCTGAAAACTGAGCAACGGTAACACTGACACTGATTATCCGTTTTTATCCGTTGAACAAACGTTTTTTAATTTCAAGCAAACTTTACACAATTGAAGAATTAAAATATTTTTATTTTTTCATTAGTATACATTTAAAATGCTTTCTTAGTTTCTTACGTTTAATTAAATATCATGTATATATTTGAATTGAGCGATCTTAAAATTAAATACATTTCATATATTTCACATATAGACTTTGAATTTCTCTACTGTTTTAACAATAAATATTTTCGTTTAAAATATATAAATCTTAATTTCGGAACAAATTTTTAAGATGAAAATACGAATATTATATTACTGAATCTATACAGATCGTAAAATGTAACAGTTCAGACCATATACAAAGAGTTCAATAGAAATTTATGTTTCACAGCCGATTTCAATACTGACTTACATAGCTATTCGCATATTTTATATAAATTCGTTCTTAAGTATATACAGATACAAAATAAGATAGTTAAACTTTCTGTAAAAATATTTGACATGGAACTTTATTATCCGGTAATAAGCTCATTGCCATTAAATAATCTAAACAGACAGTTTAACCTAACTGAACAAATTGATAGATACCAAACAGACGCTTAAAATGGACCAAATAAAAACGAAAACCAGCCAGGCACTGGACTTGAAAGGACTTTGAAATCGATTGACTACGCCGCTGCCCAAGAGCTCTGAGCAAGTGCGCCTTGAGAAGTAAACCAAAAATACGGGGATTATGTACTGTATGCCAGTGCCTGCGTAGGTGCCAGTAAATGCCACCAAACTGGACAAACTTTCCGTAAAATAGGTGATACAAAACGGCGGTATAATAGCAAGAAGTGGAAAGCACAAACGCACAAAAAGGCTATAAGTTTCATATTGCGACGTGTCTAGGAAAAGGGATTGAAGATTGTTCTTCAAAGTAATGGCCACAATCGGAAAACTGGTGGATAGCGTAAAGATGGGGAAAAGTGCCAGGAAATAATCAATGCCAATTAAAAGACCTGACCAAAAGTCTATGTAAGCCACATCGTTGGGTAGGAAATCCAATGTGTACAGGTCTTCGATTCTCTCAAAGGCAAAAATACCTGTCATGGCAAGTAAAATGTAGAATGCACAAATGATTATATAGTCGAAGGAGAGAATTTTCGCCACCATCGACTTGTGCCTAAGGGGAGCCAACAAACTGGGCAGTGAATGATGGCACATAAAGGAGTAGACGCAAGCGCCGAAAAGCGAAGGAATGCCGTATACATTAAAGGTCTCTGGATGACCCTTGGGTCCTCTGGTGATAAGTAGTTTCAGTGATATGCAGATCATAAGGGTAAAAGCTGCAAAAAGGGTTTTTCATTATCTTTCGGGTCTAAAATATCTCTGTACTCACCCATCCATCGAAAGGCAGCAGTGAGCATCTGAAGGTACTTGGTTTTTTGTATATTAAAATATACAAACGGACCAAAGATCAGAGTGAATCCAATTAAAAACACCCTGTACATGCTCAACCGAGATATGGTATGTTCCTTCCAGCAAGCCCGAGCAGTATTATTTTCAAAGTCTCCTGCCCAATACATTAGGGTTTTTGCGTCCGTTCCATTTGTTTGATCACTAAAAGTAGTCAAAGTTGTAGAATTTGTTAGGAATTATAAAGCTCCTTATTTGATAAGAACATTGTTTCCTATTTTTAATACCATCAATCTGATAACATCGTGCTAGATACCTACGATTACAATTACTCACCATACGACGTCACGCAGACTTCTTGCCACGGCGGCGGAATATATGCTCAGATCTCCGTAGAGATAAACAATCAGGCAGAGATAGAACATAATGCGTCCGAATTCGTTGAAGAAGAGAGTCGCCATTTCGCCCAGTTCGAATTTGTGGGATAGCTGATAGTAATGGAACTCCCTGTTTTGGATGGTCAATGGGACCCGCTCGAAGTCTCCCCCTTGATCGGCTCCGGATGCCACGGAAACTTCATCCGCATTATCATCGTTGTCACTGTTCTCTGCAGAACTTCGACTTTGACGCAGGGCCTGCAGGGTTTGCCAATTCCGAATGGCATTTGCACAGGCCATCGCCTCGATGATAAAGGTCACCGTCATATAACTTATAATGGCCAGTAGGACAATGACTATCAGCGACAGCATCCATCCTGCCCTGGCAAAAACTCCGGGTAGCGTTAGAGCTCCAGTTCCCACAATAAGATTAAAGATGAATATGAAGCCAACCTGTGGGTAGACAAGAGAAAAACATTACTTACGAAGCGACAGGTGTTCCGTTTTGGGAACCCAACAAAATAAGTGCAAACGCAGCAAAAAAAAAGTGCATGTGGGCGTTTTATGTAGATATTTTCACGCACAAAACTTAAATCACTGCAGTTTCTTGAAGCAATAATAACAAACACATATGCACAAATCCTTCAAAACTCCATAAAACTAGGAATTTGTTGCACAAACATGAAAACAAACAAGCAACATATGCATATGGCTTTTGTTTCGGTGAAAGTAGACCCTAGTGTTAACTTTATTATTATCCCATCTCACCAAATTGGAGTATGTGGGTGCGGCCTCGCGCCCATTAACTAGGCGAGGCATCTTTATGCTGGTTCTTTGTCTTTTTAGCTGCCTTCTTCTATCCAATCCAATCCTATCAACTGTTCAACAAAAAAAAACAATAATAGACTATCCAGTGTGCCCAAACTATTTAAAGACACCGATTACAGAAAAAAGGGACTAACGCTAAAAAATAATAATTTGGTACAAAAAGACCGCCAAATTTAAAAATATTTAGTGCATTCTTTTTAATATCAAGTAAACAACTTTAACGTTACAAAGAATAAAAAATACTTATACTGTGTTTTGCTGTGTTTAATCAAATAAATGACTTCCTTTAAATCTATTAACAATTCGAATTTATTTCAATATAATAAATTTGTCCTCTAATATATACATTGCACAACAAGCGAAAGCGCGTTAAAAGCTGTTTCACACGTAGCCAGGCATCTAGAAATGTTGGGTTTTTAAAGGGTATGCAATTGTCCTACTCTTCAAGGACTGCATTGGCGTTTTGCCTCTTTTTGCGGTTCTCCAAAATGCTCGTGATAAAGAACTCGCCGGCTTTGTATGAGCTTCGAACCAGAGGACCACTGGCCGTGTACAGGAATCCCAGTTCGTTTCCTCGCACCTCCCAGTGCTTGAACTTCTCGGGCGTAACGTATTCGATGACCTTGAGGTGCTTATTCGTAGGCTGCATGTACTGGCCCAAGGTCAAACAATCGACTCCGGCCTCCCGCAGATCCTTCAGGGTATTTTCGATCTCCTCGTCGGTTTCGCCGAGACCCAGCATAATGGAGCTCTTTGTGATGAGATTGGGATTGAATTTCTTCGCCTCGGTTAGCACGTGCAGGGTTTGACGGTAGTGGGCACGTCTATCTCGCACATAGGGTGTGAGCTTCTCCACCGTCTCAATGTTGTGCGCATAAACATCCAGGCCGCAGTTGGCAATCGTCTCCACACACTCCAAATTGCCACGAAAATCAGGCACCAGGCACTCCACAAAGATATTTGAATTACTGAAAGTAAAGATGTGCAAGTAAGGATTCGATTAGAATATATTTTAAAGATAACGTTAAAAGTTAAACTGGTCTGTAATATTGGTCTTACCGCGCTTTAATTTCCCGAACAGTCTCAGCTATGTGCTTCGAGCCGCCGTCTGGCAAATCTAGGGTGAAATTAAAAAAGATTACAAAATGGAATATTTAGGAACCGTAGCAAATTATTACCATCGCGATCTACTGAGGTCAAGACAATATAATCCAATCCCCAGGAGGCAATTGCCGTGGCGGTGTTCACGGGCTCATTTACGTCCAGCGGTGGTGGCTTACGTGCCGTCTTAACCGAACAGAATCGGCAGCCTCTAGTGCAAGTGTCGCCCATGAGCTGGAAAATAAATAGATAGGCATCAATAATTATTGTAATTGTAAATAAAATGTTGAAAATTTATAAAAACAGACTTATCAAATAAAGGGGCTTTCTTATTTGCCCAAAACTAGGCAAAAGACGTCGAAGATAATTCTTGATTATCAATCTTGTATTGATAGGACATTTTAAACCCCAAAAAGGGGTATGAAAGAAGAATTATTTAAAATTATAAAATAATTGACTCTTTAACTCAGGGACTTTTGGTTTTATGTAAATGGACGAATTTCTAAGCGCCGAAAAACAAAGTGGTGTGGAAAATTCTGCTTAGATAAGGAGAGCATTTTCGGTTATCAGCAGGGGTCACCGGGGGGTCTGTTCCCTCACCATAATCGTGGCTGTCTGGGTGCCGTGCTCGCCGCCGCCCCAGCACTCGCCTATGTTGGGACAGCGGGCCTCCTCGCAGACGGTGGACAGCTTGAGCTCCCTCATTTGGGCCTTGATCTTGGCGTAGTTCTTGCCCACGGGAATCGTGGTCTTCAGCCAGGGCGGCAGTCGCAAGCGCTGCTCTTCGCCCTTTTCGCGGCGCAGCTTTCCCTCGTAGCTCTCCCATTCGAGTTTCGAGTTCTCCGGATTCTGGACAAAGTCCTGGAAGTTGGGTCCCTTGGCCAGACGCTCGCGAATCTCCTCGAGCTTTTCCGCATTTGTTGATGCCGCACGCTGCATTATTCAATCAAAATAAGTATATATTATATTCCATTTTGTGAACTTCTACTTACGGTGACAACCACTATGGGGGCCTCCACGTGTGATTTTAAAGCTCGCAACATGGCTAAGTATAATTTAATGTACAAAATCAGATATTTATAAACAATTTATTTTGTTGGTCGAATTCTTATGAAATAGTAAGTGCGACCGTGCTCCACCTTGCTGTATTTACTGGTATTTTAAACCCAAAACAGCTGTTTTAGTATTTATTTGTTCAGAAATATATCGATAGGCCCAATTACTGTTAAGATGAGTGGTGTGAACAGTGTATTAGATGGTAAGATGCTAGTATCAGAGCTGTAACGGTTTTTGGTTGCAAGGACCCTATAAATTGACAAAAAAAAAACGTTAAGGTATTCCCTAAACTGCTGAATTGTTGTAAGTTCAACAGACATTTTCGGCAAAATTTCTGATAATGGAGTTGGTATGGAACGGCGATAAGCAGCTGGCCAAAATGTATTTATTTATTATCTCATTTCAGTACTTTAACAAGTGTACCTTTTACATGGTTCGTGCCAGCAGATTTAATGTATTTTAAAATTCTTTTTAAAATACCCGGGACACCAACCTTTTGGATCTGAGACTCAAACCCTCTCATCGATAGTTAGCGAGGACTCGAACCGCTTACAAAAGCCCGCGTAAATTAAAAAATAAATATTAAAATAAAGAAATAAATCTGACCAAATAAGAACACATCTTGTCGTGGTAAGGGGTCGTGACGATTGCATCTCTTAATTTTGTGAGAAAAAATGATTGTACATTCGACTAAATAAATACATTGTCTACGATTTCGAGTACGAGCTGTCATTGATAACGATATTTGTAGTCCCTGTTTTATCGATATATCGATATTATTGGACGTACACATCGACGCTTTCCCGCCTCTAGCCACCTCCCCCGCGCCCATCACTCTTATTCTCAAAATCGCCCCAAAATTCGAACGACTCGGACGCGTTTTTGCAGCGTGGGTGATTTCCTCCGTCGGCGTTTTCGGCGGCTTCCTATCGAGAAACAATAGTGCATCTGTGGATCGAGTTAAATTAAATAAATTAAATTGAGAACATTAAATGAAAACGGCGACGAGTAAGTTCCAACTCCCACTGTTCGGGTGTGCGTGTGTGTTTTTATGTGTGTAGAAAAAGAGAAAGAAGAATGGAGTTGCAGTGAAACACAAACACGCTCTCGCTGCGTCTCCCTCGCACACACACACTCACGGGGCGAACGGAGAAGTGGAAAAATTAAAACCGAATTGAAGTGACAAAGCGGAGTGGCCGAGGAGAAACGAGAAAAAAACATAATGAACCAGCGTGGACATAAAAATATTAAATAAATAGTGTTTAATAGACGTCCGAAATATCCTGCGCAGCTCCTCTCCTTGTGATTTCCTACGGATTTTTCTCTTTTTCCCGGAACAGCCTTTTCCGTCTCTTTCCCTCTGCAACTTTCTGTTACTTTTTGTTAACTTCTCCCCTCCCCATTTTTCCTCCTTTTTGTTGTCGTTCTTGTGCCCGCAGGACATTCAAGACTTTTTTTCGCTGGCGTTTAATTATAGTTTTTATCCCTCTCTCTTTCTCGCAACTCTTTTTCCAATTAGCGCCGAACTTCGGCGCAAAGTAAAAAGCAAAAATCAAAAAAATCTCATATTTGTTGTTTTTGTTTGGCCCGCAGACCGTGAATTAAAAACAACATCAACTTTAACTACAGTGGCAGGCGTAACTGTAAATCCACATTGCTTATGATAGCAAATAAAAAATCCGCAGCAAAAGTTTTGATTTATTCTAATTAAAAAAGGTAAGTGCGATAAAAAAAACCGGATTATAGCTCCTTTTCATTCGCACCTCCTTGGCCCGAAGTGCCGTTAAGAAGAGAAGCCAATAAACGCAAATAAGTAAACACAAAAACTAAAAAATGAGAGATTTGCTCTCCCGCTGCACTTCTATTTATGCTTTTGCTGCTGATAAAATGTACAGTGGGTACTCAATAAGATAAAACTTTAAAAAAAGTTTTGGGAATATTACAATTTAAAAACATGTAATTTTTTTAAAGCCCCTATTTTTAAAATACATTACAGATCAATGAGTATAGAAAAAAAGTTTTTTTCAAAAAATTTAGAGAATCACACCTAAAAACAGATTTAATTTATTATTTCGAAGGTTGAAGTTCATTAATAGGAGTTTCCACTATAACCTTATAGGAAAATTCTATTTAGTTTGGTTCACTGAATCGAGTGCGCACTGTATTTATTTATTCATTGCTCCGGCTGCTGTAAAAAGTCAAAGAGCAGTTTGGGTTGTTGTTGTTGCTATTGTAATTGCCTTTAATTTGTGGAGAATGAGGGGAGGAGGAGCGAATGGAAGAAGGGGAGTAGCAAAGAAGAAGCTGAAGAGCAGCAGGCGTCGGCGCAGCAGCTGCTCCGCCTAGCCCCATCTCGCTCTCTCTTTATGGTTTATCCCTTGTGCGCTATTTTCGGCATTTTGTGCTTATTTATTTACCTTTCGGTGGCTTGTTTATTAACCCTGCCCCCCTTTCCACCCTCTTCTACTCTAAATCGCTCCATGTGCTTTGAAGTTCAAGCCACAAAATTTGTTTTTACTTTTTTATTTGTTGTTTTATTTTTGGTATTTTTGTAGCTTATCTGTTGCAGTAAAGTTTTCCTGCTGCCCCCAAAATAAAAAACCCTTCAATTAACATTGCTGCCGTCTGTTTTCCGTCTCTGCTACTTCTTCCCTTTTCTCCACTTTTTCTCTCCTTTTTTTCTCCTTTTGCTTTTGTGGGCAGCCGCTGATAAAGACCACAAATAGTTTGTCTTTGCCTCACATTTTTTTTATTTACAGTGGCTATCGGCTTAAAGTAACTTAAAAACAGGAAATTTGATTTTCTTGTATGACAGAAAATGCATTTGTAGTTTCGGGATATTTAAAAGAGTCGATTAAATGGGTTAAAAGATTACGGGTGTCTGGTTTTAAAAAATTCACTTATTTCCTTTTTTCCTCTTA